TTTACCATACTAGCCCAGGCTAACGTCGTTAGCGACTTCCACTCAGTGGGGAATGAAAAGTTTCTGCTCTGCTAGATGAACAGGATGGATGGAAGGCTCTGCGATCTGTGGGGGCGGGGCCTCTTGCATTTCAAGCAATGGCAACGAAAGTTGCTCTCAGACGTGTCAGGGGTCAGAGAGGGGTCAAATAGAGGTCAGAGAGGCAGTGGCGGAGCTAGACTTTTTTCCAAGGGGGGCCCAAAGGGTGAGCAAGGCTTTATCAGAGGGTCCATATACAAATGATGAACGAAAGGAAACAAATATTTGTTTCCTTTCGTTCAAAATTAATTAATATAACTAGTTTAGGTTATAATTCAAAGCTTTCATATGACATAGCCGACTTACATTTCAGTCATTATAAAACTTAATGGTTTTTCTCATATTCTTACCACACATTTCAAGCAAGAGCTGGGAGATATAAAACATTAGAGGGCAGCATGTCACTAAAACATGTTAAAAGAATCTGTCTAAAACACGATCTACCAGCACTAGCATGGCTAATATAATAAACGAGGCACTATGCAGCGGTACACAACCATTTTGTTTCTTTTAGAAATGTATGACAAGAGCCCGCCTCTCATTAGGAAGGAAACAGCGGTTACTGCTGAGCGTAAATGTTGGAAATACTGCAAAACTCCTGACGCTGTAACTCTAAAGCCGTTGATGTGTTTTGGAAAAGCAGAACCAACATGTCAGTTTAACCAATGAACACGTCGCATCGGCTGCCTTCAGGGACAGTCGGAAAATACAGTTTTCCTGGCAAATCTTTGCCGATCTCATAAGTATTATATTTTAAAATGACAATTTCCAGTGGGGTGGCACTAGGGGTGGCCAGGGCTCTGTTGGCTCCGCCACTGCAGAGAGGTGCTAGAGTAATGGATCAGACCAAAGCAGTTGAGCCTCAAACCAGCTGGACGGGTAAATGTGAAGCTCCTTATTCTGAGTTAGACATTAATTATTGATGTTCATCATCATCGTTACTGAACAGCAACAGCATGAAGTCCAAGCCAGGGAGTGGCTGGATGTTGATCTCATCAAGATTTCCAGGTTCTGGCTGTGCACACAGAACCGGCAGGTGTCGGGTCCTGAACACGCGTCCCCCAGAGACACACGACCCGTCCCCCTGCAGTCCCCGCCCCTTAGGTTGAGGAACAGCTGTCAGGCAGCCAGACGGCAGAGCAGCTGCAGGGAAAACTGCCCCAACATTCCTGAACCACCAGAACCGGTCCACTGAGTCCCGGTATTTAGGAAAACTGAACGTCAACCTCCAGAACCTCCAGCGACGGCTTCCTGCCCGACTTCATTCAGAACCGAACCTGACTAGGATTCCAGGCTTCACATAGGAAACTGATTGATTGATCATCGATTGATTGAGTCCTCAGACCCATCCAAGATGGCCGCCAAACATCAGAAACATTGACAGCAGGGGAGCCCAAAGTGGGTCCTGGGGGCCAAGCATGTTTTAGTGTCTTCCTGGTACCAAGAACCTTTCAGCAGGTCCATGTTCTCCTCAGGTTCTCCTCGTGAGCCTCATTGGACCCAGGTGGTTAAACCAGGGAGAGACTAAAACATGCAGGATGTGGCCCTCAGGGGCCCACTGTGGGCTCCACTGATTTCCAGTTTCACTCCCTAAGGAAACATGTGGAGGACAAACAAAAACAGGAATTGGATCGGAACCGATCCGTTCAGACCGGCTTCAGTTGAGTCCAGATTTTCCCAGAGTTCCTGGAGGATGTTTCTGGACTGGCAGACCGTTCAGAACCGCCAGTAGGAGAACGTTCTGCGTGTTCGGGTCAGAACCAGCAGCTACAGCTGGCCCGGCTCTATCAGAACTTCCTGCAACTTTTCAGAACCAAGAGAATGAGGAGCTGAAGTCCTGGTTCCACTGTGGATCTTTCGGAACCCGTGAAGTTCCTGTTGAGTCTGGTTCTGCAGTTTGAACACCTGCAGCAGGGTTCGGTTCTCTGAGAGGAACGTTCCTCCAGCAGAACCCTGGGATGTAGGCCGCTGTTTTCCAGCATTTTCTACGGACCGAGCGGAGCTGCGCGGCGGCCTGCGGAGCCGCAGAGAGCCGGGCAGAGACGGCTGGAGGCCGGCCACAGGCGGTCCGAGCCGCCGCTGAAACGGACCGGGAAACGAGGGCGGAAATCGCGGCCGCGGCGGCTGTTATTGTCCCGGGAGACCGCCTCCTCCCGCGGCCACGCCTGCATGGCGCACCGTTATTATCCTCCATCCTCCATCCCGGAGGGCCGGCGGGGGGGAGGCCGCGCGGCCCGGCCACACGGCGCGGCCGGCCCGGCGGAGCACCGCGGTTCTGATTCGGACATTCCGAGGTTGTCAGGTTTGGATCCGGAGTCCAAACGGCCAGACTGAGCCCGGACTCCCGACCCGAAGCGACGTTGGCCTTCAGAAACCCAGAACCCCCCCAACCCGGAGCTCCAATCACAGCGGCCACTAAAACCCAACCGAACCGAGCCGAGCCGAGCCGAGCCGGAGCAGGGCGCCGCTTACCTGCTAAGAGATCCACAGCGAGGATCCAAACTTCAGCTGCGGAGGAAGAGTCTGCAGAGGGACGGAACCGGAGGAGGAGCAGCGGGAGGGGGGGCTGCTGCAGGGGATGACGGGAAAAGATCCGCACTGACCCTCCTCCTCCTCATCTTCATCATCATCATCATCATTCATCCAGCCAGAGACAGAACCGAGCCTGAATCGGACCGCCTTGTTCCCACAGAGAATCATTTAAATCCCGGGAATTCAACGGAACCAGGGGTCACAGTGTTACTGAGAGGTCAGAGGTCATGTCTCCGTCCCTCACCTTCTCACTGAACCGACCCTGTGGGCAGTAGAACTCCTGGTTCTGGTTCTGGTCTGACTGAGCCAAGGTAGAACCGGGTCAGAACCAGGAAGATTCAACAGAACCGAGCAGAGAGCTCCAGAACCCACGTGATGATGATGATGATGATATTTATGGGCACCTTTGTTGACTTTTGAGGACAGAAAAAGTAAAATCAATAAAATAATCAGTTGATGGATTCAGTTGGAAACAGCAGAGGAAGAGGAGGAAATGAACCAGAGCAGAAGGGGCCCGAGGACGGGGCCCTGGGGGCCTCCAGAGCCTGCCTCAGTGTGAGCTACGCTAATGGAAGCTAGCCTTTAGCATGATGGAGAGAAATCCTGAATCAGCTGCCATGAAGAGTGGCACTGTGAACAAAGAACTGTTCATAAAGAACCGTTCATAAAGAACCGTTCATAAAGAACTGTGAACAAAGAACCGTTCATAAAGAACCGTTCATAAAGAACCGTTCATAAAGAACTGTGAACAAAGAACCGTTCATAAAGAACTGTTCATAAAGAACCGTTCATAAAGAACTGTGAACAAAGAACCGTTCATAAAGAACTGTGAACAAAGAACCGTTCATAAAGAAACTGTTCATAAAGAACCGTTCATAAAGAACTGTGAACAAAGAACCGTTCATAAAGAACTGTTCATAAAGAACCGTTCATAAAGAACCGTTCATAAGAACCGTTCATAAAGAACTGTGAACAAAGAACCGTTCATAAAGAACCGTTCATAAAGAACTGTGAACAAAGAACTGTTCATAAAGAACTGTTCATAAAGAACCGTTCATAAAGAACTGTTCATAAAGAACTGTTCATAAAGAACCGTTCATAAAGAACTGTGAACAAAGAACTGTTCATAAAGAACTGTTCATAAAGAACCGTTCATAAAGAACTGTTCATAAAGAACCGTTCATAAAGAACTGTTCATAAAGAACCGTTCATAAAGAACTGTGAACAAAGAACTGTTCATAAAGAACCGTTCATAAAGAACCGTTCATAAGAACTGTTCATAAAGAACTGTTCATAAAGAACCGTTCATAAAGAACCGTTCATAAAGAACTGTTCATAAAGAACCGTGAACAAAGAACTGTGAACAAAGAACTGTTCATAAAGAACCATTCATAAAGAACCGTGAACAAAGAACTGTTCATAAAGAACTGTGAACAAAGAACTGTTCATAAAGAACTGTTCATAAAGAACTGCGGGAGGATCAAAGATTTATGAATGAAGGGCAGACAGTACAGTAGAGGTGGCAGGGGTCAGAGGTCAGCAGGTCAGGATGAGGATCCTCTGGTGAGAGAACTGGTTTGATTGGTTCATTGGCAGTGGGGGCGGGGCCAGAGATGGCCGTGATTCTGGTTATGTCAGGTTCCACCTCTTGGGACCGGTTCCGACCCGTAATTCTCACCGGGACCCATGAAGATCCCGACTTCATCCTGCAGGAGGCGCTGCAAAAACCACAGAAGAAGAACTCAGGCTGTTTTAATGTATTTTTAATTTTTCCACCAGAACATCAAGTCCGATCAAACCAGACTGACAGACCCGAGTCATCTAAACCCAACAAAGCCCAGCAGCTGCCAGAACCGACCAGAACTCTGCAGGCTTCATTGCATTTATTCACAAACTAAACCAGCAGCACAGAAACTGGAATTCTGTGGAATTCCCCACAGATCCAACAGAACCACCAGGCCCAGATCCAGAACCGGAAGTTTTCCGTTTGTTTTTGTCCCTGGAGTCGGAGCTGTGGGCGGCGAGCCGCTGTCGGGTCGATACGGAGACAGGAAGTGGTGTAAGATGATCCGCACTGACTGTCAGCACCGGGTCCATTAGGGCCTGATGGAGCAGAACCGGGCCTGATGGAACAGACATCGATCCGTGGGTCAGGCTGAAAGCTGCAGCGTCTGCATGTAGGTGATGAAGCCGACTGCAGGCTCCCCCTAGTGGCCGGAGGAGATCACAGCTGTCACTTCCTGTTTTTGTTTCCATTTTTTTTCTGTTTCATTTGTTTCTTAGCAATTGGGTTTTCAGTTTGTATCGTTCATCTCTCCACCCAACCGTCTTCACAGCCCCGCCCGCTCCGTACCCTGACTCCGCCATCAGGCTCCTCCGGCCCCGCCCCATCAGAAGTCCAGCCACTCGCTCAGTAGATGCAGCTGGATGGGGAGATCTCTCCTCCTTCATGGCAGTCGTGGAACACCTGCAGAGAGGACAGAAGGGTGAGGTCAGCTGAGGCTGGGGAGGGGCTGCGGGTGCGTCAAGGGGCATGGTCACCGGGCAGAGTCCGCAGGGCGTCTTGACGAGGCCGGTGGGCTGCAGGATGGCGTTGACGCCGCGGTACAGCTTCATCTGGCCGTCCACGCTGCCCACCGTCCCTTCCTTGGCAGCGATCACCGTCATCTCCACCTTCCCGTCGTAGATCAGTGTGTTTAGGATAGTCTCGATGTCGTCCATGGAAAGGTCCACCTGTGCCCAACACACACACACCTGTCAGCCCACAGGTAGACCGGCTGCCAAGGGCCTGGACTGCAGGGGGGCGGAGTCACCTTGCTGATTCCCAGCTCACAGATGTACTTCCACACCTCATGTGACGTTGCGAATGAGCTGTTCCTCTGGACCATCGGGCTCTGCTGCCCGTCCCTCGCCGCTTCCGCCTGGGAGCAGAGCAGAGAGGGTCACAGGATCCACTGGGGGTCACAGGATCCACTGGGGGTCACAGGATCCACTGGGGGTCACAGGATCCACTGGGGGTCACAGGATCCACTGGGGGTCACACACCCAACCAGGGGTCACATGGAGCCGTTGTAAAGAAAAACTGAGGACGAACATGGGGTTTATCTCTGATCATGTTGGTTCCATCTGATCTACTTTCATTACTGAGGCCACAGACCTCTGCTGCCCCCTGCTGGCTTGAATCATCTAAACCTGAACCGTTGTGTGTGTCCAGACGGGTTCTGCTGGTACCTTGCTCTGCAGGAACTTGAAGCACTGCTGGTTCAGAACCTCCACAAACTCGGACTCAAAGTCCTGGTCGCTGTACCAGGCGCCGCCCGTCACCGTTCGATCCGGCTGCAGGTTGTACAGCATGTACACCTTCTTCTTGGAGGCCTAGAGAACAGAACCGCATCAGAACCAGATCGGAAACTGGGTCACCTACAGTTTTCAGCATCCTGACTAGAAACCTGAATATATAAAAAGTGCTTTGAATTCAAACCCATTTCTGAGTTCATCAGACCAAAATGATACTGAACTATTAAGGCGTTTTAATAAAGTGAATCAGCGTGATTGGCTGATGTGTGGCACATCCAGCCAACGGGACGGGAAGGCGGACGACCCGGAGATGGAGGAGCTCCATAGCGACTCCAGGAGGTCAGGGTGGGAATCCAGCTGACGGGATTCTCACCGGCGCAGAACCACTTCTTCCCCTTAGAAAACCACAAATCTCTTTGACTATTAGTTCAAATTTATGTTGAACCTGCAGAAAAGGGCCAGCAAAGATTGTTTGGTGTAAGAAAGCCCACAGAGGTTCAGGTGGTAAGTCAAAGATGATCCTAGTTTATAGATCATATGTTGATGTTTTCTTTGGAAATCTTAGTCTTCAGTAGAGTAATAAGATGTTAGGAGTTTGAACAATGCTCACTAACCTGATGATCAATAAACGGATCATCAGGGAAACTAAAGCCTCCTTAGTGACGGCGCTCAGCCTTTACATGAACAGCAGCAGTGGAGGCTCCTTTGTTCAAGCAGAATGAATGTTTGTAAAGCAGAACATGGCGAGGGAACATGGGGTTTGTCGTACAGTCGGTCGACAATGAAAGGCCCTTTTTTTTCTTTTAAACTGAAAAAACGGCGAGCTGCTGGAACCACCGGCTCTCAAGGCTTTCTGGAGAAACCGTGGCACGCTGCATCCCCTTCACCGATTCCAGCTCCGCTTTCATGGCATCCTCCCTGACAGACCGGTGTGCAAACTGGCAGGCCTTGGAAGCCCCTCTTCCACTGTTGCTGGATTAAGAACTCCTGACGAATGGCTCACAGTCATATTGGGGCTCATCAGCTCTGGCTCCTCAGGGCAGCGTGCCGGGCCCTCTGCTCTTCACGCTGCCAGGCCGTCCTAAACTTCAACAGAGTTTAGCACGGTGGACAGGGTGGACATGGTAGAGAGGGTGGAGAGGGTTAGGATTCCTGGGGTTCATTTCATGGATAAACGGGCCTGGAGTGGGAACACAGCAGAACGGCCCGGAGAAGCATCACCTGATGCTGCTGCAGGTTTCATTCCATGAACTGGAAGCATCACCTGATGCTGCTGCAGGTTTCATTCCATGAACTGGAAGCATCAGCTGATGCTGCTGCAGGTTTCATTCCATGAACTGGAAGCATCAGCTGATGCTGCTGCAGGTTTCCATCCATGAACTGGAAGCATCACCTGATGCTGCTGCAGGTTTCATTCCATGAACTGGAAGCATCACCTGATGCTGCTGCAGGTTTCCATCCATGAACCTGATGCTGCTGCAGGTTTCCATCCATGAACTGGAAGCATCACCTGATGCTGCTGCAGGTTTCCATCCATGAACTGGAAGCATCACCTGATGCTGCTGCAGGTTTCATTCCATGAACTGGAAGCATCACCTGATGCTGCTGCAGGTTTCCATCCATGAACTGGAAGCATCACCTGATGCTGCTGCAGGTTTCCATCCATGAACTGGAAGCATCACCTGATGCTGCTGCAGGTTTCCATCCATGAACTGGAAGCATCAGCTGATGCTGCTGCAGGTTTCCATCCATGAACTGGAAGCATCAGCTGATGCTGCTGCAGGTTTCCATCCATGAACTGGAAGCATCACCTGATGCTGCTGCAGGTTTCCATCCATGAACTGGAAGCATCAGCTGATGCTGCTGCAGGTTTCATTCCATGAACTGGAAGCATCAGCTGATGCTGCTGCAGGTTTCATTCCATGAACTGGAAGCATCACCTGATGCTGCTGCAGGTTTCCATCCATAAACTGGAAGCATCACCTGATGCTGCCTCTTCGCCTCAGTTCAGACCCAGCAGCCCTGTGCTTACTAATCGCCACGGCTACCGTTTACCACCAATTTTATTCAAGTCCTGATAATTTTATAATTATAAAATTACATTATGTTTCTATCATGATAATGACGATTATTGATTGATTGATCATTTATACTTAATGTGCATTTAGAGATATCAGTTGTGTATGGAGGACCGATCCTGTCAAAACCCAAATATCAAAATAAATCAAAATAAGCCTGGGTTGTACCAACCGGGCCTGAACCGGGCCTGAACCGGGCCCGAGCGGTTCTGGACTCACCGCCACAGACTTGACGGCCTTGATGAGCTTCTTGCTCTCCAGGTTCTTCAGGATCTTGTTGATCTCCGTCAGAGAAGGTTGCTCTTGAAGCGGATGTCTCTGCTCCAGATTCCTGCGGCGACACCAGAACCGTGAGGCCGTGAGGTTCTGACCCGATCACGGCGGGCCATCTTCAGGACGATACCTTTGTTTCCCGCGTCCTCGATGATCTGGTAGACCAGTTCTCCTGGTTGTCAGAACCTTTCATCTTACTGGAACACAGAGGAGCGTCAGGGAGGAACGACCCGGCAGAACCGGGCCGCGGGGAGCTTACCTGGCGCTCTGCGTGTCCTTCAGCCGGTACAGCAGACCCGAACTGTTCCTCAGCAGGTCCAGCTGACCCTGAAACACAGTCGGTCAAAGGTCAGGATTCACACCCTGCCAGTTTCTTCTTCGTGTGTCTTAAATGTTTCACATCAAACAAACAGGAAGACGATCAGGTTACTGCTGATGTTCCACAGATCCGGTCCACTTATCGTCAGAGCGATACGGCGAACAACCACCGAACCGGAACCGGAAGTGACTGACCAGGGACAGCAGCTTGTTGAGCGCCATGGCGCGCTGCTGGGGCTCCAGGTGAGGCAGGTCGTTCTGGATCACCTGGTCTGTGATTCCCTGGGGAAACTGCTGACACAGCTCCTTGATCCTGCGAAACACCCGAACCGAACCGGGTCAGAGCCTGCTTCTGGAAACATTAAAATAATGAAAGCGTTTCTCCTGGTTCGGTTCTTCTCACCTGTTCTCTATCTCCGCCGGTTCCGAAAGGTTCGTCCTTCTTCACCTTCACCTCTGCCATCCTGACCCAACTGTGTGGTTCCGTGTCTCGGTGCGGGTTTGACTGGACCGGGTTTCTGAGTCGCGAAGAGCCGGATGTTCGGGGTCCTTCCGGCTGCGAGCTGCCCTGGACGCTGCCTGATCATAAAGCAGTTGGGGTCCTGCAGATATTCTGCTGCTTTCATAAACTCTGCTTCCTTTTTATGAAACAAAATATTTCCAGGTTGGATTTTAATGTGCAAAATCCTGCGGCTGTTTTAGTGAAACCCGGAAACCAAACATGTAAAACCAGGCGGTTCTGGTTCTGGTTCTGGATCGATAATCTAAGTATTGTTGCTGAGAGTCATGGGCGGAGCCGAGCCCGTTGTCATGGTGACGCCAAACGCAACAGCGGCGCTTCGGTGAAAACTGGAACCAGAACCGAACCGGATCAGAACCGGAACCAAACCGGATCAGAACCGGAACCGAACCGGATCAGAACCGGAACCAAACCAGGCTCAGAACCGGAACCAAACCAGGCTCAGAACCGGATCAGAACCGGAACCAAACCAGGCTCAGAACCGGGTCACAACTGGATCTGAACTACGTTCATCAAAGTTTATGATCAACAGATCGATAATCAATCGTTCTGCCACTCAGACGCTGATATCGATCAGCCAGCGGTTGCCATGGCAGCAGGCGCCATTTCAGCTCCTCTCATCATCCCGATCAGAGACCACGTGACCCGGAAACGCAAAACCCGCATCGACACCAGCACGCCCGTCTGCATCCAGTCAGGTACATCCAACCACATCCAACCACATCCAACCACATCCAGCCGCATCCAACCGCATCCAACTGCATCCAACCGCATCCAACCACATCCAACCACATCCAACCACATCCAGCCGCATCCAACCGCATCCAACTGCATCCAACCGCATCCAACCACATCCAACTGCATCCAACCGCATCCAACCCATCCAACTGCATCCAACCGCATCCAACCACATCCAGCCGCATCCAACCACATCCAACCACATCCAACCGCATCCAACCACATCCAACCACATCCAACCACATCCAACCACATCCAACCACATCCAACCGCATCCAACCACATCCAACCACATCCAACCGCATCCAACCACATCCAACCACATCCAACCACATCCAACCGCATCCAACCACATCCAACCACATCCAACACATCCAACCACATCCAACCACATCCAACCGCATCCAACTGCATCCAACCGCATCCAACCACATCCAACCACATCCAACTGCATCCAACCACATCCAACCACATCCAACTGCATCCAACCGCATCCAACCGCATCCAACCACATCCAACCGCATCCAACTGCATCCAACCGCATCCAACCGCATCCAACCACATCCAACCACATCCAACCGCATCCAACCACATCCAACCACATCCAACCGCATCCAACCACATCCAACCACATCCAACCACATCCAACCACATCCAACCACATCCAACCGCATCCAACCACATCCAACCGCATCCAGCCGCATCCAGCCGCATCCAACCGCATCCAACCGCATCCAACCACATCCAACCGCATCCAACCGCATCCAACCACATCCAACCGCATCCAACCACATCCAACCGCATCCAACCGCATCCAACCGCATCCAACCGCATCCAACCACATCCAACCACATCCAACAACATCCAACCGCATCCAACCGCATCCAACCGCATACAACTGCATCCAACCACATCCAACCGCATCCAACCGCATCCAACCACATCCAACCGCATACAACTGCATCCAACCACATCCAACCGCATCCAACCGCATCCAACTGCATCCAACCACAGCCAACCACATCCAACCGCATCCAACCACATCCAACCGCATCCAACCGCACCCAACTGCATCCAACCACATCCAACACATCCACCTGCATCCAACCACATCCAACCACATCCAACCGCATCCAACCACATCCAACTGCATCCAACTACATCCAACTGCATCCAACTGCATCCAACTGCATCCAACCACATCCAACCGCATCCAACTGCATCCAACTGCATCCAACCGCATCCAACTGCATCCAACCGCATCCAACCGCACCCAACTGCATCCAACCACATCCAACACATCCACCTGCATCCAACCACATCCAACCACATCCAACCGCATCCAACCACATCCAACTGCATCCAACTACATCCAACTGCATCCAACTGCATCCAACTGCATCCAACCACATCCAACCGCATCCAACTGCATCCAACTGCATCCAACCGCATCCAACTGCATCCAACCACATCCAACTGCATCCAACCGCATCCAACTGCATCCAACACATCCAACACATCCAACTGCATCCAACCGCATCCAACTGCATCCAACCACATCCAACTGCATCCAACCACATCCAACCGCATCCAACCACATCCAACCGCATCCAACCGCATCCAACCACATCCAACCACATACAACCGCATGCAACCGCATACAACTGCATCCAACCACAGGCAACCACATCCAACCGCATCCAACCACATCCAACCACATCCAACCGCATCCAACTGCATCCAACCACATCCAACCACATCCAACTGCATCCAACTGCATCCAACCACATCCAACCACATCCAACTGCATCCAACCACATCCAACTGCATCCAACTGCATCCAACTGCATCCAACCACATCCAACACATCCACCTGCATCCAACCACATCCAACCACATCCAACCGCATCCAACCACATCCAACTGCATCCAGTCAGGTACATCCAACACATCCAACCACATCCAACTGCATCCAACCGCATCCAACCACATCCAACCACATCCAACCGCATCCAACTGCATCCAACCGCATCCAACTGCATCCAACCACATCCAACCGCATCCAACTGCATCCAACTGCATCCAACCGCATCCAACTGCATCCAACCACATCCAACTGCATCCAACTGCATCCAACCGCATCCAACCACATCCAACTGCATCCAACCACATCCAACTGCATCCAACCACATCCAACTGCATCCAACTGCATCCAACCGCATCCAACCGCATCCAACTGCATCCAGTCAGGTACATCCAACACATCCAACACATCCAACTGCATCCAACCACATCCAACCACATCCAACCGCATCCAACTGCATCCAACCACATCCAACTGCATCCAACCGCATCCAGTCAGGTACATCCAACACATCCAACACATCCAACTGCATCCAACTGCATCCAACCACATCCAACCGCATCCAACTGCATCCAACCACATCCAACTGCATCCAACCACATCCAACTGCATCCAACTGCATCTAACTGCATCCAACCGCATCCAACCGCATCCAACCGCATCCAACTGCATCCAACCACATCCAACTGCATCCAACTGCATCCAACCACATCCAACTGCATCCATCTTCATCCAACCGCATCCAACTGCATCCAACCACATCCAACCACATCCAACTGCATCCAACTGCATCCAACCGCATCCAACCACATCCAACTGCATCCAACCACATCCAACCACATCCAACTGCATCCAACACATCCAACGGCATCCAACTGCATCCAACTGCATCCAACTGCATCCAACCGCATCCAACCGCATCCAACTGCATCCAACCGCATCCAACTGCATCCAACTGCATCCAACCGCATCCAACCGCATCCAACTGCATCCAACCGCACCAACTGCATCCAACCGCATCCAACTGCATCCAACTGCATCCAACCACATCCAACCGCATCCAACTGCATCCAACCACATCCAACACATCCACCTGCATCCAACCACATCCAACCACATCCAACCGCATCCAACCACATCCAACTGCATCCAACTACATCCAACTGCATCCAACTGCATCCAACTGCATCCAACCACATCCAACCGCATCCAACTGCATCCAACTGCATCCAACCGCATCCAACTGCATCCAACCACATCCAACTGCATCCAACCGCATCCAACTGCATCCAACACATCCAACACATCCAACTGCATCCAACCGCATCCAACTGCATCCAACCACATCCAACTGCATCCAACCACATCCAACCGCATCCAACCACATCCAACCGCATCCAACCGCATCCAACCACATCCAACCACATACAACCGCATGCAACCGCATACAACTGCATCCAACCACAGGCAACCACATCCAACCGCATCCAACCACATCCAACCACATCCAACCGCATCCAACTGCATCCAACCACATCCAACCACATCCAACTGCATCCAACTGCATCCAACCACATCCAACCACATCCAACTGCATCCAACCACATCCAACTGCATCCAACTGCATCCAACTGCATCCAACCACATCCAACACATCCACCTGCATCCAACCACATCCAACCACATCCAACCGCATCCAACCACATCCAACTGCATCCAGTCAGGTACATCCAACACATCCAACCACATCCAACTGCATCCAACCGCATCCAACCACATCCAACCACATCCAACCGCATCCAACTGCATCCAACCGCATCCAACTGCATCCAACCACATCCAACCGCATCCAACTGCATCCAACTGCATCCAACCGCATCCAACTGCATCCAACCACATCCAACTGCATCCAACTGCATCCAACCGCATCCAACCGCATCCAACCACATCCAACTGCATCCAACCACATCCAACTGCATCCAACCACATCCAACTGCATCCAACTGCATCCAACCGCATCCAACCGCATCCAACTGCATCCAGTCAGGTACATCCAACACATCCAACACATCCAACTGCATCCAACCACATCCAACCACATCCAACCGCATCCAACTGCATCCAACCACATCCAACTGCATCCAACCGCATCCAGTCAGGTACATCCAACACATCCAACACATCCAACTGCATCCAACTGCATCCAACCACATCCAACCGCATCCAACTGCATCCAACCACATCCAACTGCATCCAACCACATCCAACTGCATCCAACTGCATCTAACTGCATCCAACCGCATCCAACCGCATCCAACCGCATCCAACTGCATCCAACCACATCCAACTGCATCCAACTGCATCCAACCACATCCAACTGCATCCATCTTCATCCAACCGCATCCAACTGCATCCAACCACATCCAACCACATCCAACTGCATCCAACTGCATCCAACCGCATCCAACCACATCCAACTGCATCCAACCACATCCAACCACATCCAACTGCATCCAACACATCCAACGGCATCCAACTGCATCCAACTGCATCCAACTGCATCCAACCGCATCCAACCGCATCCAACTGCATCCAACCGCATCCAACTGCATCCAACTGCATCCAACCGCATCCAACCGCATCCAACTGCATCCAACCGCACCAACTGCATCCAACCGCATCCAACTGCATCCAACTGCATCCAACCACATCCAACCGCATCCAACTGCATCCAACCACATCCAACTGCATCTAACTGCATCCAACCGCATCCAACCACATCCAACTGCATCCAACCGCATCCAACTGCATCCAACCACATCCAACTGCATCCAACCGTATCCAACATATCCAACTGCATCCAACCACATCCAACTGCATCCAACCACATCCAGCTTCATCCAACACTTCCAACTACATCCAACTGCATCCAACTGCATCCAACTGCATCCAACTACATCCAACTGCATCCAACCGTATCCAACCACATCCAACTGCATCCAACCACATCCAACTGCATCCAACCGCATCCAACATATCCAACTCCATCCAACCACATCCAACTGCATCCAACCGCATCCAACATATCAAACTGCATCCAACTGCATCCAACCACATCCAACCGCATCCAACACATCCAACCACATCCAACCGCATCCAACACATCCAACTGCATCCAATCGCATCCAACCACATCCAACTGCATCCAACACCTCCAACCACATCCAACCGCATCCAACCGCATCCAACACATCCAACCGCATCCAACACATCCAACTGCATCCAATCGCATCCAACCGCATCCAACCACATCCAACCGCATCCAACCGCATCCAACACATCCAACTGCATCCAACCACATCCAACTGCATCCAACCACATCCAACCGCATCCAACCACATCCAACTGCATCCAACCACATCCAACTGCATCCAACCACATCCAACCGCATCCAACCACATCCAACTGCATGCAACTGCATCCAACCACATCCAACCGCATCCAACCGCATCCAACCATATCCAACCGCATCCAACCACATCCAACCGCATCCAACCACATCCAACACATCCAACTGCATCTAACCACATCCAACCCCATCCAACTGCATCCAACCACATCCAACCACATCCAACCACATCCAACCGCATCCAACCGCATCCAACACATCCAACTGCATCCAACCACATCCAACCGCATCCAACCGCATCCAACTGCATCCAACACATCCAACACATCCAACCGCATCCAACCACATCCAACCATATCCAACCACATCCAACCGCATCCAACCGCATCCAACTGCATCCAACACATCCAACACATCCAACTGCATCCAACCGCATCCAACCACATCCAACCGCATCCAACCACATCCAACCATATCCAACCGCATCCAACCACATCCAACTGCATCCAACTGCATCCAACCACATCCAACTGCATCCAACTGCATCTAACTGCATCCAACCGCATCCAACTGCATCCAGTCTGGTACATCCAACACATCCAACACATCCAACTGCATCCAACCACATCCAACCGCATCCAACTGCATCCAACCACATCCAACCACATCCAACTGCATCCAACTGCATCCAACCTTATCCAACCGCATCCAACCGCATCCAACATATCCAACTGCATCCAACTGCATCCAACCACATCCAACTGCATCCAACCACATCCAACCGCATCCAACTGCATCCAACTGCATCCAACATATCCAACTGCATCCAACTGCATCCAACCACATCCAACTGCATCCAACACATCCAACTGCATCCAACCACATCCAACTGCATCCAACTGCATCCAACCACATCCAACTGCATCCAACTGCATCCATCTTCATCCAACCGCATCCAACTGCATCCAACCACATCCAACCACATCCAACTGCATCCAACTGCATCCAACCACATCCAACTGCATCCAACTGCATCTAACTGCATCCAACCGCATCCAACCACATCCAACCACATCCAACTGCATCCAACTGCATCCAACCACATCCAACTGCATCCAACTGCATCCATCTTCATCCAACCGCATCCAACTGCATCCAACCACATCCAACCACATCCAACTGCATCCAACTGCATCCATCTTCGTCCAACTGCATCCAACTGCATCCAACACATCCAACTGCATCCAACTGCATCCAACTGCATCCAACACATCCAACTGCATCCAACTGCATCCAACTGCATCCAACTGCATCCAACCACATCCAACTGCATCCAACACATCCAACGGCATCCAACTGCATCCAACTGCATCCAACCGCATCCAACTGCATCCAACCGCATCCAACCGCATCCAACTGCATCCAACCGCATCCAACTGCATCCAACCGCATCCAACCGCATCCAACTGCATCCAACCACATCCAACCGCATCCAACTGCATCCCACCACATCCAACTGCATCTAACTGCATCCAACCACATCCAACCGCATCCAACTGCATCCAACCACATCCAACCACATCCAACTGCATCTAACTGCATCCAACCGCATCCAACCACATCCAACTGCATCCAACCGCATCCAACTGCTTCCAACCACATCCAACTGCATCCAACCGTATCCAACCACATCCAACTGCATCCAACCGCATCCAACCACATCCAACTGCATCCAACCGCATCCAACTGCATCCAACCACATCCAACCGCATCCAACATATCCAACCGCATCCAACATATCCAACTGCATCCAACCACATCCAACCGCATCCAACATATCCAACTGCATCCAACTGCATCCAACATATCCAAGGTCTTCCTGGTTCTCCAGGTGTGTGTTTCTTCAGACTCTGCAGGTGTGCTGATCTTCTTCACTCTGGATGGTTCGAAGCCGGTTGCCTTGCTCCGGGGGTCAGAGGTCGGCAGCAGGAAGTACACAGGTCCCGTCTTTCTTCCTGCGGGCCAGGTGTCTGTCAGGGCCGTGGCCGTTGCCAGGTAACGTTCAGCAGAAACACTTGAGCTGCATCACTTCCTGTTTTCCTCTTCTGAATGTGACTGCGGCGCAGGGACGGGAGGCGCAGCTCCGTGGTCACCAAGGTGTTCTCCGTGGGTCAGGTGGAACCAGACCAGCAGGTAGCCAATCAGCAGCTTGTAGCTGACCCCTGACCTCGCTCACCTGTCTGGTCTGAAGGCTCCGCCTCTGTGGTTCTGTTGCTTCAGGTCCAGTCTGATGGAGGCTGCGATTCTGATGAGCCGCCCGTTTCTAATCCAACACCTGCAGGAACACCTGGACACTCAAAGTGGAGGGAAGTCACCTGCAGTCCGGCTTCTGAACCGGGCCGGACCGGGTCCAGTCCTCCGATCTCCCTGCCCTCCAGACGCTCCAGAGGTGTTGGGATTCCAGATCCTGATGCTGCCTGGACCAGCTCCTCCCGACGCTCCCGCTCTGCGGTAAACAGGCTAACAGGGAGATCCGGCAGGAAGTTCCAGACCTGGCCGGCCTATACTGTGATCTACTTCCTGTGATCTACTTCCTGTGATCTACTTCCTGTCTGCTAGGATTCTCACTATGGAACGCAGCCGAGCAGCGAACCGCAAACCCAACGGCCGAGAGTCACCACAGCACCATGGTACCATCTCAAGACACCCACACTCTGATGACGCTACCCTTAGGACACGCCCACTGGCAGAGACACGCCCACTGGCAGAGACACGCCCACTGGCAGAGACACGCCCACTGGCAGAGACACGCCCACTGGCAGAGACACGCCCACTGGCAGAGACACGCCCACTGGCAGAGACACGCCCAGTGGGCTAACATGAGCTACTTTTGTGCGCTTGTTGTTGCTATGCGATTTTTATTCAGGTCTAGTTTGTCCATAACAAACAAACTGTTGTAAAATTGTGCTGAAATGCAGCATTGAGGCCAGTTTTTATCAATGAAATACAAGCTGTTGTTTTATTATTGGTATTGTGGTTCCTCAAACGTCCAGTGGGGGGCGTGTCCTGGTCCTCTGTGTCTCCAGGTGTCCTCGCTGCCTCTGCCTCTGCCCTTCAGACCCGTTTGCACGGTTCTGTCCTCAATGTGGCGCTGTGATTCCTCCGGTACCGGCGCGCAAGCCGCCCCCTGCTGGGAGAGGACAGGTACTTCATTCGTCCATCGTCCAGGTGCGCCGGCCGGCCGGTCCGGACTGACCGACCGTCTGTCCTTCTGTCTCAGCTCCTGCCGTGTCCTTTCTGTCGCTGCCTGGTTCCCAAAAACTCTCGGACCTGTTGGACCTGCGAGGCGTCCATAGAAGGGTCTCAGGCCGGCTTCTCCCTGCAGGTGAGCTCAAGGTGCATCGCCCTTAGCAACCATGGGTCAGGTTCTGATAGAATCAGAACGTCAACCAGGAAGTACTCACATCGAGTTCTGGTTCTGATCTTCAGCCGGTACGTCCAGACCAAAGCCGGGTCAAGTGGGTTCTGGCCCGGGTTTACCTGTGTGTGTTGCTGCAGGTCGACCCGGGTGGAGGCGCCGGCCCCTCAGGTGGGCCGGCGGACGGCAGCATGTGGTCCTGCTCCAGGTGTCGTCGCCTGAACCGTCATGATGCCAGATTCTGTGACTGTTGTGGCAGCAAGGTGACCTTTGACCTGGTGTGTTGGGCAGTGAAGCATTATGGGATATTTATTAGTGTGCTATCCAGGCTGGCCACGCCCCCCTCTGGGTGACGTGTTGGCGGTGCGGAGCAAGCTCACGGCCTGACGCCCCCCACTGTGCGGCGTGCGGCGTGTTCCTCCTGGCGCTGTCTCCGCCCACACCGTGCAGTGACATCACACTGCCTGAAGAGGACGCCGCCCACAGCAAGGTAGAAAGACAGCTGTTTCCTGTCTTACTTCTTCCTGTCATTAACAGGCTGGGTCCCTGCAGGCCCCGCCCCCTCGTGACTCTGCCTGGAAGGCTCCGCCCCCACAGAGCGCCGCCTCCAGACGGGGCGTAGCTCCTCCCCCTGTGGATCGGTCCACGCAGACCGTGGGACTCTATTACCCATCAGCCACTGCGCTGCAGCAGCGGGACCAGCAGAGGGCGCTGCGGCGGGAGGCGGCGAGGAGCCGGCCGCCGCTCAGCTCCATCAGCCCCGGCAGAGGTACCATGGCAACGCCATCAGAGGCTTGGCCCGGTCCTGGAATCTCTGATGGTTCTGTTTGGTTCCGATGGTTCTGTAGGTTACTGGAGGAACCAACTGGACCACGTCTGTGCTCACCTGAGGAGCTACACCCAAAACCGGGCCTCCTTCAGAACCCTGCTGGCAGAACCTCGACTGGGCCGGGTAAGCAGAACAGAACTTGTGGTTCAGCTAAATGTGGGCCAGGATGGTTCTGATCCGGTTTATTGTTCTGGTCCGGTCCAGATGGTGTCGGCGCTGGTCCAGCAGAACCAGGATGAAGTGGTTCTGATGTTGAGCTTCTCATTGGCAGCCAATCAGAACCAGCAGGTGAGGTCCGGACCAGGTCCCTGAACTGGTTCTGAAAGCAGACTTTTGACCCGGCAGAACCTCTGTGTCCAGCAGTTCGGACCTGATGGGGACCATGATGGCCTGGCAGGAAGTTCTATGGTACCGGGTCGGGTCCAGACACTGAGCAGTGTCACACAGTGTGCGTCAGACAGAGCTGGTAAGAACAGAGGATGTTCTGGTGGTTCTGATCTGGACAGAGGAGAACCGGGCCGGACTGATGAACAGTGACCCCTGGTGGTACTTTTAGGATGAAATTGGTTCCTCTTGACAGAGCCGGTTCCGACCTGACAGCTTTGGACCATGAACACCTGGAGGTTCTCTGGTTCTGTTCAGAAAAGGATCAGAACCTCTGGCTCAAAACTCTGCTTTGTCTTCCAGGAAGTCCAGGGAGGAAGCGGGATGCCGACCCGGAACCGAACCTGTTGGTAAGAACAGAACCGATCCGGACCGTCAGTAAGAACAGAAAACCCAGCTCGCGTTCGCTGCGCTCTGATTGGCTGTCTGGCTGCAATCAGGTTACCATGGTGAACAGGTCCATAACACTCAGGACCTGATGATCTCACACAGGTGTGAGGTGGTGTGGGCGGAGCCAGAGGTGTTACAGTTACACGTGATTCATAACCCCTGGCCACGCCCACATTCTGACCACGCCCCTTCGGCTTGTCACGTGACTCAAGCCATTCTCCTCTTCCTCAGGATGAAGAATTCTGCAGCTCTGGGTTCTGATTGGCCGCCTGTCGCAGAGTTCCCCCCCCTTATCATGTCACCATGTGCCTCCAGGTACAGGGTGGGCGTCAGGCTGCGGGTCAGACGATGCCAACCGGGCCAGACCTTTCTCAGCCTGGACCGGGCCGGACCATAACGGTACACGCCTGCAGAGCTTCGATGCCCTGGTTCTGGTTCCGACCCGTTCCTGTGATTAACTGAGGTGCCCATCCTGGACTGCTGGCACAAAGAAGTGGTGTGATGGTTGCTATGATGACACCAGCCCTTGATCGGAACCTGCGAATATGATAGAATATTTGTGGGGTTGACCTTTGACCCCATCCAGGTCATTTCTTAAAGTTTATGGAAATAAAACCCAACATTGTTTCGAAGTTATTATTTATTCACGAGGAAAATTATCTTCCTCACTTTAATCAAATCAAGATGAAAACTGAAACTCGGGGAACAGCGCCGCCTGCTGGTCAATCATGGAAAACACAGAGCAGGGATTCAGGTCCGGGTCCAGAACCGGGTCCAGAGCGCGGGTCCAGAGCCAGGTCCAGAGCCGGGTCCAGAGCCGGGTCCAGAGCGGGTCCGAGTCCAGAGCCGGGTCCAGAGCCGGGTCCAGAGCCAGGTCCAGAGCCGGGTCCAGAGCCGGGTCCAGAGCCGGGTCCAGAGCCAGGTCCAGAGCCGGGTCCAGAGCCGGGTCCAGAGCCGGGTCCAGAGCCAGGTCCAGAGCCGGGTCCAGAGCCAGGTCCAGAGCCGGGTCAGCGCCGCAGCCTCAGGAAGAAGGCGTGGCGGCACTCGCTGCTGTCCACTGGGTAATATTTGTCGTAGAAGTCCAGGATGTATTCCTCGGCCTTGAAGCCGAACTTCTGGTACAGCAGCATGGCCGGGTTGCTAGCCGACACGTGGAGCGTCACGTCCTTCCCCATGCACGTCTGAAACACACGGGTCGCACACGTCTGAACACACACACACACACACACACCTGTCCCGGAGTAGTGGGCGCGGCCGGACTCACCTGGATCAGGTGGTAGATCATGAAGGTGCCGATGCCGGCGCGCCTCCACTCCGGGTGAACCAGGAGGAAGGAGATGTACGCCTCGCTGTACTTCACGTCCGGAACCATAAACCCAAAGCCCACGACCACCTTCCTGTAGAGCGCCACCACGCTGAAGTCTGGGTACTGCAGGCACTCGGACAGGTCCACACCTGCAGGGACACGCCTGAGGTCAGAGGCCGCTGTAGCAACAGCAGCAGCGGGTGTGGCGGGGCTACCTGGCCAGAAGCTGTCGTGGCACATGGCGTTGACTGAAGGGATGTGGTTGGGCCGGACGTAGCAGTAGTCGATGGGAGCGTCGGGTTCTGGGGTCCAGTCCGGATCCGTTCTGTGAGGAAATGCCCGGATCTCAGCCAGGAGGCGGAGCTTCAGGGGGCGGGACTCAAAGTCCCTCCTGAGGAAAACATGGACAGGTGAAGAGGAGACAGAGGGACATGAGGTCCAGGACCAGAACCGAGTGTTTCTCATAGGAGGGAAAATCAGGACCTGACCACTAGGGGGCCCCACAACAACGTCTTTTTCAACACAAAAAACCCTTTTGTTGCCCGTCACTCATAAAATGAACGGCATCGTTGTTTTTTCTTGCAGTGAGAGTTAAACGTTCCTCCTCCCAGACCAGAAGACCAGCGTCCATATTTAGTGACCCCCCCTCATTTCTACATGAAATGGTTTGTTCCTGCTTGGCGCTGGACGGTGTTTAGCAGTCAGTAGAGAAACAGATAATAACCAGCTGCCTAAAACATAATTAAACCAGGTTTAAAAAAGAACGACCAGAAGAAAGGGCGTCAATTTATAACCCTGGTTTTCTTCAAGACGTCGGTGGCAATCAACCCGTTAGTCTGTAGCTAAGCTAATGAAGCTGTTAGCCTCTAATCCGCCAGGATTTAATCAGTGAAGGAACAATATTTATTCAACTTGTTCGTTTTACCACATGTAACAGCAGATGGGTCTGAGTGAGCAGCAGAACCCCAACCAGCCTGACGCCTACCTGTGACGACGGCGGGCGAAACTGTGACGACATGCTAGGCTAGTTAGCTCCAGGTGAGTCAGGCTGCGCTAGGCCCAGACGGAGGCAGATGGCAGAATGTAGGGAACGGTTTAGCTTTCCAGGTTTGCTCTGGTTTTGTCCAGTTTTTATTACATTTAGTTGAATATGTTTATGAAGCTTAAATGTTATGTTACCAACCTGTCTTTGTCTTTTATATTTCAGGGATAATGGGGGAATTATTTAATATGAATTTTTGCAGTGGAGAGAGAGAGAGTAAGGCTCGACCCTTGACAGACTCAGACCGCTGCATGTGTGAACGGCGGCCGGTTCCGGACCTGATGAAGGGCTTCAGGATCCGGGCCGTGTATGGACTCTTGATGTTCTGATCCAGACCGCCCTCGGCTCCCATCAGGCGGTGCCAGAAAGACACGGAGCGCTGCTGGACGCCCGGCCGGCTGGACATGCTGGTCTGCAGGGACAAAGACGGGTCAGAGCCAGTGAGACCCAGCAAAGGTTCTGAGCTGTCACCAGGAGGTTCTGACCTGGAAGCGGTCCAGAATGCGCTGCTCCTGGCTGCTGGTGCAGTACTTCCCATTAGCCCCGCCCAAAGAGCGATGCTCCGCCTCCTGCATGCCGTAGATTCCTCCCACCAGGCTGAGCGTGGCGCTGATGGCGCGGTCGATGTCCAGCAGGGGGAGCCCTCTCTGACGCTTGGCGTGGCGGACCAGCAGCTTCCTGCGGAGGCGCTTGGCATGTGGCGTGACGGCCAGCGCCAGTGAGCAGCCGTCCAGCCGGCGCAGCAGCAGCCGCTCGTCATACAGGCTAAGGGCGGAGACGACGGGCCGCGGCGCCGCGCTGTCCGATTTGTCCTGAAGGTTCATCCTGCGACGCTCCGCCATCCGCCTCTCAGGGGGCGGAGCCTCACCGCAGCCTACCGGCTCCTCGAAGCGTTCTTCGTGGGCGTCGTCCTCCTCACTCTCAGCTTCCCGCTTGATGAGAGTCTGCGGGGGGCGGAGCTTCTTCCGGCCGGTGTGGCTGGCGCGCGGGGGTAGGTACTCCATCCCGGGTCGATCATGCCCTCCGTCTCCAGCTCCTCGTCATCTGTGAGTGGAGCCGGCAGTCAGGAAGTGACGTCTCCGCTAACATCAGCGGCGGGCATACTTACCATGGAACAGCGCCTGCGGAGGCATGGCGTCGGGTATCAGGTCCGCCTCCGACAGCAGGCTGGGCGTGGCCGAGTGGGAGGCCGGCGTCCCCGGCCCGGAGAAGTCCGCTGACGGCGAGGGCGAGGGGCTGGTGAGCGGCGTCCGGTCTGACGAGCTGAGCGAGGAGAAGTCGACGACCTCACCCCGCTCCAGCACCAGGTCCAGGCGGCGAGTGCTGCTGCGGCCAACGCCCAGCTTGACGGGCGTGGAGGAGGCGCTGAGGTCGGCGTAGCCTCCGCCCGCAGCCTCTTTCTGGGCGCGCCGGATGTCTTTTGCCTCCTGCGTGCGGCTACGCTTCTCCTTCAGCTGCATGGCGTTCTCCACCGGGTTCCTGGCGCCACGCTTACGCAGGCCCTCCACCGTGATGATGGGTTCAAGGGGCGGCCGGGTCGCTGCGGCAGAACCACAGGTCAGGGGGCGTGGGTCACTCAGCCGGTCGCTGGCGCTCTGGCACCGCTCACCTTTGGTCTTGGTGCTGGATTTGTCGCCGTCCGGCCTCAGGGTGGGGGGACGGTTCTGGACCAGCTTCCACCAACCCGGCTCGCCGAACTCCTGCGCTCCAGACCGGAAGAAGGCGGGGCTTCCGACGGACAGGCAGCCGGCCACCGTGCTCCACCAGGTGGACGTCTTCTTCCTGCCGACATCAGAGCAGCAGCGTCATCCGGTCGCCCCCCCCGCCAGGGCTAATGGGCGCGCTGCAGCACAGGAACTGCACTATATATGGACAGAGCTCCTTCCTGCGGCCAGGTCTGGGATGAAACTCACCTGTTCCCCAGCAGGAAGTTCCAGTGTCGACCAATGAAGGCGCAGATATCCTCCTTCCACCTGAAGTAGCCCTGCCGCCCCGTTCCCTCATGAGACAGGTTGTACATGGCCAGCATCACCACCTGCGCACAGGAAGCCGTTTCAACCTGCAGGACAGGTGTGCAGCTGCTGAGGGGGCGGGGCCTTACCTGCTGCCAGGTGAGCCTCAGCCTCTCAAAGCTCTCCTTGCCGTCCTCAGAACAGTCGCAGCACAGGAACTTGAAGAAGTTGTCTCCCTTCAGGTAACTGGGCTGGTCACCATGGAGCTGACCTGGAACCACAACCGGGTCAGGATGCTAACCCGCTAGCAGCGAAGCTAACTTGTGGCTTAGCACTTTTGCCAATGTTGAGTATTTTTGGTGCTCTTGGCTCAAAGTTTATTTGTCTGGATAAATTCTGAAGCAATAATTTCCTGGGATGGTTTGAAGTTTTAATTCTCCAAGTAATATTCATGCTCTTATTTTGAAGGGTTGCTTTTTCCCTCCCAATATCTTTATTAACAGTAGAAGCAGAGCTGTGATTGGCTCACCTGCAGGGACCCACTTGTGGCAGCGGTCGCAGTAGAAGGACACGTCCTCGCAGGCCCAGCTGCCGTCTGCGTCTTCGCCCAGGTCGCTGGTCAGAGTCTCTCCGCTCTGGTCATGTGACAGGTCCTCCTGGTCCTCCGACTCCACGATCAGCAGCGTCTCCCCCTCCACTTCCCCTTCCTCCAGCCCCTCTGCCGCACCGCCGCCGCCCTCCATCGCCTGGACGGGTCAGGTGACTGGCTGCCGGTTTGGACCCTGAACCGGGTCAGGATGTCCTCAGAACAACCCGTCACAGTGATGGTCTTTTTGAGGTGTGCGTACCTGGCTCAGGTGTCCTGTGGGCGGAGCCTGGCCTCCTGGCCCCGCCTCTCCTCCTGCTGCTGTCCGGTCAGAACCTTCTGCTCCTCCAGCAGGTTCTGCTGCTTCCTCTGCAGCCGGTCCAGATCCCGCAGGACGCCCTCACGCAGACGCTGCACAGAACCGGGCCCGGATCAGAACCACAGCTGGTTAGAGTTTGACTGACAGGCTCAACTGGACTACAACCAGAGTTATGACCTTTGACCTGTAGAGGTGAAGCTCTGGGTTCAGCTCGTCCCTCTGACTGGGAGTTCTGCTGGCAACCATCTTCCTCTCTAAGTAAGGATGAAGAAGTGGACCGGAACCAGCTCTTTCTTCCGGGTCACCAGCTTTTCTCTCATTAAACCACAGAAGCTCCCGAACCGTGAGGGTTCTATCGGAACCTGATCGGTTCTGGACTTTACCTCTACAGGTCTGTGTCCCGATAAACCCGGTTCTGCCACCTGGTCGACCTGTCCGGTACGGCTCGGTTCCGGTCCGCTTACCTCCCGGTCCCAGGCCTGCTTGAGGTGGACCCCGGCCACCGCGCTGACAGTCAGAACCACAGAAACCGTCAGAACCACCTTGGAGGCCGTAGACATGCCTCTGGGTCGCTGCAGTTAGCACGAAGCTAACAGACTCTGCTGCCGCTACTTCCGCCTCCTCTTCTTCTTCTGCGGAGTGTAAGTGGAGTGACCCCTGCTGGTGGAGCGGGGTAATTACCGTTCTGCTTCCTCTGATCAGTTTCCAGCCAACATCACCGTGACTCAGAACTCGCTGATTATTATTTTTTTTTATCTTTCTTATTTTAAATAAATAATGGGTTGATAAACACCATCAATATCATAAACACAGAACATGCTAGTGGGGTAATCATCAAAAACAATATAAAAAAAACAAAGTGAACACATCAGTTCTCTTAATGGCTTTTTGTTTTAAATTCTGAAATGTTCCAATATGTCATGTAAAGATTATGAATGAAGGTTTGTGATGAGAAAATGTTGATTTATTTCATTTTAGTACTTTGCAACTACTAAAATTAGGCTGCGTTCACACTGCAATATGATACTGAAATCAAATCAAATTTTATTTGTATAGCACATTTCAGCAAGGCATTTCAAAGTGCTTTACATCATAATGATGTAAATGACCCAATTCCGATATTTTGTCAATCGGATTTTTTTTCCGGACCTGAACAGGTTCTGGCATCTGGATGGGCAAAGGACCGGACCTGCAAGTATTCCGCATGCGCAGTAGAGGGCGCAATAGAAGAAGCGCTCAGTATTTGCGGAAGTAAACATGTAGGTGGAGCTTGTTAGCTTACATATTCGAAGTTGTTGTCCAGCATATTAACAACTTAATCCTCATTATAGTCCGTGGTTGTTGTTGCGCAGAATAGTGACATTTGTCCATGTCGGTCCATTTGAATCTGACACGCAAAAGGCCCGGTTCGCTTTCCAAAAGAATCCGACCTGCTGCTCAAACTGGGATGAAAAGATCAGATACAGGTCGCATTACGTAAAAGAAATCGGAATTGGGTCACTTCCGGCTGCAGTGTGAACGCAGCGTGAACGTAGCCTTAGTTTGATACTATTTGGTTTGAACCAGCTGTTTTTAAGCCTGAAAGGTTCAGGGGTCAAGGGGCAAAAGCGAAAAATGATTCGGTTCTAGACTGAAAACCTGAACACAAAGGAGAATGGTCCTGGTTCTGATCCATTCCCAACCATCTGATCCACACGGACAGGATCAAGTCTGGCAGGAAAACCAAAAACAGCAGCAGGACCAGGACCGGATCAGGACCAGGATCGGATCAGGACCAGACCAGGAACAGAACCAGAAATTAATAAAAAATCAGAATTAAACAGTTTAAGAACATTTTTGTTTGACATAATGTCAAAAAATGTTTGAAGCATGAATAAAAAAACAGAAAAGAGCTGGACCGGGACCAGGACTGGTCCAAACTGGCAACCCACATTAATAAAATGGTGAAATAATATTGAGCACAAAAGACTGTTTTGTAAAAGTTTTTCATGCACAATCCGAACAAACGTCTCTATGGAAATAAATATGTGCCATCAGCATTTGAATAAAAAATGCCTCTGAAATTTGAACGTAAAAAAAATTCAGTGTCATTATTTGTACGTGAAAAAAAAATCCAGTGATAAAAAATTCGCTGTAAAAAATTCAACGTCTAAAAATTCGCCGTTAAAAATGGAAAGGTTACTTCAGGTCACAGACATGCGCAATGGACGTCAGATTCCAACACCCAGCCAATCACAAGACGCCACGTCATATAGAAGAAATACCAGCATCACGGAGGCTGGCGACTATGGAGGCGAACGCTAACCCAAAGGTGAGTTTAATGCTTTCATATTTCTGTAGTACATTTCATTTTGCGCCTGAGGTTTGATACATTATCTTAAAGCTCGATTTAAAACACGGGTTTGGTCCGTTGTTAATCTTACAGCATGTAGCGCAGGCATATAACGTCTCGCTACCTCCTAGCATCCAGCCCCTCCCCGCTGTCCCTCACCCAACTTCCCCCGTTTTATTTAAAAAAGAAAGAAACTTGGATCTTTAAAGAGAACTGATGGGTGGCGACTTTCTGGGTTGGTTTCTAATGTTGGAAAAATAAACAGTTTCTCTTCACAAAACTCATTAATTATGAATCTATGTTTATGCCTTGTGGTTTAAGTTGCCATTGATGTTATTTTGGGTCTCAGGGTGAGTGAGGGATGAAGAGACTGGGGGCTTGGGGGTCCTATTCAGGTCCCACAGACTGTTTAGCTGAACTTAATATCATGTTTAGGGCATTATTATCGCACTTATTGTTGAGATGTGTGTGATATGAGTGTCTATTGGACATTATAGCAATAATGAATAAATGGCGTCCCGTTGGTTCAATACGGAGCGGAAACAACAAGCAGCTGCCTTTGTAGCCTAGCTTAAGCTAACCTAGCTTAAGCTTTCTTCGTCCCTCCTCCTCTTCCGTTTTGTTCCCCGGAGATTTCCTGCCGCCATCTTTAGCTTCCTGCAGTTCATGACTACAGTCACATGTAGAGAGAAAAGCGAGAAAAGGGCCCCAGCTCGCTGCATCAGTGCTGATCCTCTGCTATTGATCATTTCACACACAAACAGCTGTTAGCTGCATGCAGTGCATTCCAGTGACGTGAGGTCAGAGCCTCGCCTGTTACCATGGAAAAAATAATATGATACAATAATTTATATTACTATTTTCACCCTGAGGTTTGTACTGTGGAGTATTTATTTTTCATTTAACTTAATCAATTCTGATTATTTTTTCTTCAAAATTGTTGAATTTTTCCATTTTCAAATGAGAAGAGCAGCAGGTGAGGCAGCAGTGAGCCGGGCCTCACCTGGATTCTTTAACCTCTGACTCACACTGCACTGGCTGCCATTGAGCAGGTTCCTCCTGCCTGTATGTCGCCAATAAAATGGCTAAAAAACATTTAATGTATGAACTGATTTTCCATAATTTAGCTCATGCATATAATGTACAGAGATCTTGTCTCCAACTGTGTGTGTAACGTGTTTCATGCTGAGGAGCGATGAGAAACCAGAAAACAGACTGGAGGTGAGGCAGGCAGTTCTCTGGCCTCACGACAGGGGGGGCTCATGATCCCACAAGCCCTGGAGCTAGCCCTGGAGCTAGCCTTGGAGCTAGCCCTGGAGCGAGCGATAGAGCTAGCCCTGGAGCAAGCCCTGGAGCTAGCCCTGGAGCAAGCCCTGGAGCTAGCCCTGGAGCAAGCCCTGGAGCTAGCCCTAGAGCGAGCGATAGAGCTAGCCCTGGAGTGAGCGATGGAGCTAGCTCTGGAGCTAGCCCTGGAGTGAGCGATGGAGCTAGCTCTGGAGCTAGCCCTGGAGGCGAGCTAGAGCTAGCTGCTCCTGGAGCAAGCCTGGAGCTAGCCCTGGAGCAAGCCCTGGAGCTAGTCCTGGAGCGAGCGATAGAGCTAGCCCTGGAGCGAGCGATAGAGCTAGCCCTGGAGCGAGCGATAGAGCTAGCCCTGGAGCGAGCGATAGAGCTAGCCCTGGAGCTAGCCCTGGCAAGCCCTGGAGCTAGCCCTGGAGCTAGCCCTGGAGCGAGCGATAGAGCTAGCCCTGGAGCGAGCGATAGAGCTAGCCCTGGAGCGAGCGATAGAGCTAGCCCTGGAGCTAGCCCTGGAGCAAGCCCTGGAGCTAGCCCTGGAGCTAGCCCTGGAGCGAGCGATAGAGCTAGCCCTGGAGCGAGCGATAGAGCTAGCCCTGGAGCTAGCCTGGAGCAAGCCCTGGAGCTAGCCCTGGAGCTAGCCCTGGAGCGAGCGATAGAGCTAGCCCTGGAGTGAGCGATGGAGCTAGCCCTGGAGCGAGCGATAGAACTAGCTCTGGAGCTAGCCCTGGAGCAAGCCCTGGAGCTAGCCTGGAGCGAGCGATAGAGTAGCCCTGGAGCGAGCGATAGAGCTAGCCCTGGAGCGAGCGATGAGCTAGCCCTGGAGCTAGCCCTGGAGCAAGCCCTGGAGCTAGCCCTGGAGCTAGCCCTGGAGCGAGCGATAGAGCTAGCCCTGGAGTGAGCGATGGAGCTAGCCCTGGAGCGAGCGATAGAACTAGCTCTGGAGCTAGCCCTGGAGCAAGCCCTGGAGCTAGCCCTGGAGCGAGCGATAGAGCTAGCTCTGGAGCTAGCCCTGGAGCAAGCCCTGGAGCTAGCCCTGGAGCGAGCGATAGAGCTAGCCCTGGAGCGAGCGATAGAACTAGCTCTGGAGCTAGCCTGGAGCAAGCCCTGGAGCTAGCCCTGGAGCGAGCGATAGAGCTAGCCCTGGAGCGATTAGAACTAGCTCTGGAGCTAGCCCTGGAGCAAGCCCTGGAGCTAGCCCTGGAGCGAGCGATAGAGCTAGCTGGATAGAGCGATAGAGCTCTGGAGCTAGCCAGGGATCTATATATTTTAATTTTCTCCTCTTACACACTCTGATTTATAATAAAAAAAATAAACATTCAGCTAAAATCAAACTACTGCAACTGGCAGTAGAACATCCAGTTTGCGTTTTGTGTAGGAAATATTCAGTGATTTTTGTGTGTCAGTTGTTATGTCAACGAGGCTGCTCGACAAACACGTGATTTTGACTAACAGTTTTGCCTTTGCTGTGGAGGAAGCTCAATATGAATATATTACTATAAATGTATTAATATGTCCAAGTTGAGCTGATGCACAAAGATGAGAATCATGTTCTTGTCTGCATGCGCGACGTCCTCGCAGGTTGTCTGTATTTGTAAATATGATTATGATTACGTCAGAGCGTCACCAGCTGTGAACGTCACTGGTACCGAGACCAGAACCAGACCAGACCGAGGGGCGTGTCCAGGGGCGGAGCGGTTTGGATCAGCTGCTTTATTGATCTTGGAACATAAACAGGACAAAAGATTCACTGAACATCCGGAGAGCAACGTAAAAATAATATTCACAGCAATAAATAAAGCCTGACATGAAGCGGCATGTTCGCCTCAGGCGGTGCAGTCCACTGCTATTTACACTCATCATCATCATCATCATCTTCCTGCAGCAATGCTTAAAAAACTAAGAAAAGCAGAAAGTGGCATTTAAAAACCTTCCAGCTTCTCCTTCTGTAACACAGTCCGGTATCAAACACTTCAATCAGCAAGATACAAAAATATCACACAGCCGGTCCACCTGCGGTCCAGCTCAGAACCAGAACCCAGCAGGCCGGATCATCTGCATCCGGCGAGACCCAGAAGAGTCCGAAGGGTTCTGGAGGTTCTGACCCGGATCCTCTGCAGGTTCTGCTTCCTGTGTTACAATCGAGGCCGAGAGACGCAGCGACAGACACAGAGGGGGCAGGTTCTCCAGCGTGCAGCCGCCGCCAGGAGGGGCGCTGCAGCTTTCATAGTCCAGCTCAGTGTCTGACACACACACACACACACACACACACACACACACACTCTAAAACAAACAGATGTAAACATGAACTCAGGAAAAACAAACACCTGAATCTTCTTCCCTGTTGCATGGGCATCATTGTCTGAATGGACCGGTTCTGGTCCGCAATGAAAACTGGGATGAAGCCACAACCCAACTGGACCGGGTTTGGTTCGGACCGGGTCGGCACCAACCAGGTTAGCAGAACCAGTAGTGAAGCTGTGGTTCTGTTCAGATCCAGATGATGCTGGACCAGGACCTGGACCTGGACCTGGACCAGGACCTGGACCAGGACCAGAACCTGGACCTGGACCAGAACCTGGACCTGGACCTGGACCAGGACCTGGACCTGGACCAGGACCTGGACCTGGACCTGGACCTGGACCAGGATCAGGACCTGGACACAGAGTCTTGATGACCTAATGACCTCCTCTACACGGTGCAGGACTCCGGTCCTTCAGGACTGGACTTTGACATCCCTGGTTTAAAGGGCAGATACCGCTGTAGAACATGTATGTTCTGTAGAACATGTATGTTCTGTAGAACACACATGTTCTACAGAACATACATGTTCTACAGCCAGTCAGGGACTCTGTCGCCTTGAGTTATGAAAATGTTTGATGCGTCTGAAATGACTAAAGAAATTTGACTTTGCAGTTGAGGTTTAAATTGGGCCTCTGTCTCTTTAACAAGCTCCTGCTCTTTCTGACACGCTGTCTTCGTCATCATGTCGCTCCTCCAATAAGACTCCAGGGATGATTTTGATGTGGAATAACATGAAGGTGATAATGCAGCTGATTCTCAGGATCCTGAGAATCAGCTGAAGTGGATCAAACAGGAGTTTTTAGGAGAAAGTCCCAGGGTTAGGAAGGTCCAGGATACGTCTTTTGTTGTTTTATTTACCATTTGACAGAGGGGGTTAAAGTGCACAACTTTAAATGTTATTATTGGGCCTCACAATTAAGGACTATTATGTTTCTATTTTGCAGATAAAGGAAAACCTCATTGGGTAGAAATGGAATCCCATAATTTAAGTTTAGCTCTTCCATTGTTCATATATTCCGATACATCAAATAAACTACAGAAACACACTACGAACCCCATTCTGAAAAACATGATTAACATTTGATTAAAATTTGGCAGGAGGTTAAAAAATACCTTGAGAAGCCAGACGGAATATCCCAATTTAGCCCAATATGGGGCAATCGGCTATTTGCCCCAGGTAGGGCAGATGGAACCTTTCAGCTTTGGGCATTGCAAGGCTTAAAGCGTATTGGTGACCTGTACCTATCAAATTCGGATATATTTTCGTCATTTGGGGAGCTACAAACCAAACTGAGCCTAAACAAAAAGCATTATTTTAAGTTTCTTCAGATAAGAAGCTTTGTGAAAGCAAATAACAGTAATCTAAACAGGCCTCCCCTTACAACGCTCGAAAAAATAACCCGGGATAATTTAAGAAAGGGTATAATTTCAGACCTTTATAAAGTGCTGCTCTCTTACTCAACAGAGAACTCAAATAAAAGGCTCATAAACTGGAATTTGGACCTATTATCAAATGTCAGTGAACAGGACGGAAATGTATAAAAACCCACACAATGTCCATTAACAGTCGATCTAGAATTCTACAATTTAAATGGCTAATGCGTATCTATGTTACGCCCGTACATTTAAATAAATACAATAACAACATCCCAGATCTGTGCATAAAGTGCAACTCTAAAGGGACGTTAATACACTGTATGTGGGAATGCAGACAAATTACTTTGTTTTGGACAGAGGTGAAAGTTATAATTGAAAACATTATCTTAAGGCCGATTTTACTGGATCCTAATTGTTCTTGCTGGCTCTATACCCTGAGAACCATCATTTTAGTAAAACAGAATGTACTTTTATAGATATAAGCTCACTGGCAGCAAAACAATGTATAGCTTTGGCTTGGAAAAATGTCAACAGACCAAGAGCCACGCAATGGTTGAGAGATGGCATTCAATTTCCCGCTAGAAAGAATAACATATATTAAGAAATCCAAACAATATCTTTTTGAGAGAATATGAGAGCCTCTCATTACTTTCATTAAGGACTTAGACCTGTCAGAGGGCCCATTTGAATTCTGACTTGTAGGAACCTGCGATGTGCTATGATGTATAGAAGTGTACACTTATATCTAAATTGTCTGAACATCCCGTTTATGAGAAGCTGTGTTCTGTGTGTCTTTTTTCTTTTTTTTCTGGTTGTCTTTTCTTTTTTTCTCTGAAGATGTGGGAAATTAGAGTCATGTAAAAACTGTAAGGAAAACTTGCTCAAAAATTCAATAAAAAATGTCTTGGGGGGGAAAAAAAAAAAGTCCCAGGGATACCAGCCAGTAGGGGGCGGCCCAGAGCCTCGCTGTAACATACAAATTCTGACCCATTTGGATAGTTGAAAAAGAAGTTTGGTTGGGAACAACTGCTGCCATCTAGAGGTCAGGTTGGAGACTGCAGCTGTTGGAATACCTGCGTCAGCTTAATGAGCTCACCTGTCTGACAGGGAACAACGCAGTCCAGCATCACTGGGATCGTCTCAATCCTCAGGATACATCACTAATCATCTGAACCACCCGGGATCAGAGGAACCGGAACCGGTTCTGTTACCTGGAGAAGGTGCTAGACTTTACGAAATGAATGCCGGAGAGCAATCGAACACACGCACACACGCACACGCAGTTCACAAAAACACAACAAAACGTTTCCCTTGAGAGTCCAAACAGCTTCAGGCATCGGACCGGACGAAAAGCGCTGCTCTTCCGTGTCTCCGGACATCCGAGCTCTCTGCCGCCGGAAGAGTCCGAGAGTCTTGAAGGAGTCGAAGCACTGCGCTACCGACACCAACATCCCGTTCCCTTATTCACAACTTAAGGTAGTCCAGGTGAGAGAATCTGGGAGGGGAGGATCTGGACAGACAAGCTGCTGACAAAGAAATTCGGGTGAGTTTGTTCCTGTGATGAATGGCGTCACCCCTAGGTGGCGACGTCACGACATGCAGCAAGAAGCTCGGCGGGTCGACACCAAACCAAAAGGATGTGCAGAACAGATATCGGAGTTTTGGGAACAGAAGGAAGGTGGGGCCGTTCTGCGTTAGCGAAGCTTCTACGGCTACGGGATCGGACGGTTGGAGAGTTTAGCGGTCCGACGCGTTCATTCTTCCGACGGAACAGGAATCGATGGGATCAAGACACAAGTGCGAACAAACGGAAACCAGCCCAGGCACAAGTTGGACCCCACCCTCACCCGGATAACGGACGACAGTTTTGGCGTTGTGGGTATGTACAGTGACTTTCTGTGGAGGGCTGGATGGTGGCGATCCGGCGCCGGCATCAAAGGTCAGGGTCGAGTCTTCAGGCTGAGGGGGGACGGGGCTAACCCAGCCACACTACCGTTTGAGTGCGAACGGTGATCTCCAGTTAGCTTTATTGGTAGCTGTGGTGTGGCTAGTTCCGCCCCTTCCTCTAGCTCCGCCTCCAGCTACTGGTGGACCTCGTTGGCGATCAGACTGTCCTCCCCCGACTGGAAATCCGCCTCGTTGATGCTGTTCCCTCCGTTCAGCATTTCCTCGTCCTGTGACGAGCCCCGGTCCTCCTCGCTGCTGGCGCCGCCCGGCTCGTCCGAGTTCGGGTCCTGCAGCACCTGGGCGATGTACATCTGCTGCTGCGGTGCCACCTGCTGCTGGACACACAGAACCAAAGTGGGTCAAGCCGGACCCAAATGGTTTGTGACCCGTTGGAGTACCCGGGTCTGGTCAGCACCTGGCAGGAGGACTCACCTGAGACTTGTTTGGTCGGAGAGGAGGAAGAGCGAGCCGGTCGTCCGTTCTTCACGGCGTCCACGTCACTCTCCTTTGTGTCGATCTGAAACAGAACCGCTGGGCAGTGAGACGACCAACCGACCAATCAGCGCCAGCCTCTCACTGGAGCCAGAACTCACCTTGTAGTTGTGGGCACTCAGGTACTTGAAGTGTCCAAAGCAGACGTGGGACAGACAGACCACGATGGTGACAACAAGAACCACCAGCGTGAACATGGAGGTGGGCGTATCAAAGCCTGGCGGGATGGAGAACAGTTAGAATGAGACCACAGAACCAGTCCTGGTACCAGAACCCACCCCAAAGGCCCCGAGCTGCAGGGATCCAGAAGCAGAGCAGCTCACTTGTGCGGACAGTGGAGAAGAAGAGCAGCCAGAAGAGGCAGAGGATGGGCGCGGCCACCACCTGAGTCACTGCAGCTGAGTGGATCTTCTTGTCCAGCTTGGAGGGCAGGTAGGCATAGTACATGTTGTACCTGTCCACCAGGTGTTTCAGCAGCATGTACATGAGACCTGGAGGAGCAGCAGAGTTGAGTTTCCTGCTCAGGTAAGTACCTGCTTGTGGAAGTGCTGCATACTGACCAAAGGGGACTATGATGGGGCAGGTGATGCTGTAGGCCATCACCACCGTGAAGACGTTCATCATCCAGGCATAAGCAGCGCCGAACTGGAACTCGTAGGCCTGGTGCTGCAGAGACAGAGTTATAGTCAGAAAGGACAGTTCTAGGACCAGGTGTCCAGCACCGTCTCCGCCCTCCTACCCTCTTCACGTTGCGGCGGTCGGCGGCGGAGCGAGCCAGCACAGGCGATCATGTACATGAGCAGGCCGGGGATCCTCAGCAGGTCCATGGCGTTCCCAATGAAGGCTGAGGCGATGACGTATTGACGAAAAACGCTCCGTTATCCGGTAAGAAGACGCACCTGAAGACAAAATCCTTTCTCATCGGCTGATCAGAACCCGACCGAATGCCTTAAAGCTCACTTCCTTTTCTGTTTGTGCTTCTGTTGAGCCCTAGTCTAATGGTTGATGGGACTTTGTTGGGTTTTGTCTTTCTTTCACGTTGTCCTTGGCTTTGACTGAAACTCAGTTGCTCACAGTTGGAGTCCTGGTTCTGGACTCGGTTTAATCTCCAAGTCTTTGTCTCAGTGGCTCATTCTGAGTTTTGGTGTTTAAGTCAGGAGAAATCCTAAATCTGGTCCCGACCCGTAAAAGTCTCTGATTTTTTTTGTACTTCATAAAGTTTTGGTTTTCACCTGAATGCACTCTAATTATTCTGATTTCATTTAGCCTCTGTGGACGAGGCACCAGGATCTGACCTGTTCCCAAGTCATGGTAGTCAGGGCAGTGACTTGATCGCCATCTAAAAACCTTCTTCATCAATCTTAACTTGGTTCTTGGTGTCTAGATGTTAATTCACTTCTGGTTGCAGCTCAGGTTCTACAGACTGCATACGCCCCCTGCTAGGAACCTCGCTGCTGAAACTGTCTATGGTCTTGGTTTATCTGCTCTTCCCTGCGGTTTGTGGTGAGTAGTGAACAGTTTACAAATGGAGACAAAGTCAAAGTGACTTACTCAAATCTGACTTTAGCGTCGTCCAGGAACTTCTTATCGAACAGCCAGCGAAAGAAAACATCCAGACTGTAAAGGCAGAGACAGGATTCAGTGACAGCAGAGCGGACAGGCGCTGCGGCGCTCGCAGCGACAGTTGCAGGCGTCCCACCTGCTGAGTCCAAGAGACGGCAGTAGCAGAACCATGAAGATCAGGAAGGTGTAACATTTGTGCATGGTGGTCCTGTTTTCTCCAGACCTGCAGAAACAGACAGAGGAACCGGTCAATACCCGCCACGGTTCTGGTTTCATTCACCGCTCCAATCACCGGAATATCGCAGCCCGATCCGGACGGGCCTCAGCAACCCGACCCCTGGTTGATCCCAGAGATGAGAGGAAGAGGCTGAGAGGAAGCAGGAGTACCTGGTCCAGTGAGCTTCAAAGAAGGCAGAGTAATAGACGATGGTGGGCAGCAGAGCAGAAAAGGCCCAGAGCAGCAGGGTGGGGAAGAACTGAGTGATTATAGGGTTCTGTCCAGAAGAAAGCACAGAGTCAGAACCAGAACCAGAATAGAACAGAGCTGGCCCAAAGAGTTGCTCAGAGGAAGACAAACAAAGGGCGGTTCTGCTTACGTTCAGATACTCCACAGGCTTGGTGACGTTGAACTTGTCCATGGTGGAGATGATGATGGCCGGCGTGGTGAGGAAGAAGAGCAGGATGAAGAGGATGCAGTTGATGAAGCAGCGGATCCACCAGGAGATCCCGCCCAGCGACAGGTGCTCCCTGCAGGAAGGAACCGCAACACGTCAGCAGGCAACACGGCCACGGGTCCGTTTTACAGGCTCCACCTGTTTTACAGTGGGCGGAGCTTAAGGGCAGAGTATGTGGATGGAGTCTGGGGGCGGAGCCTGGGTACCTACCAGCGGACGTTCTGCGGGTCCGGTGCGTACGTTACGCTCCAGTTGTGAACATGGAGAACTTCACTGAACTGAGAGGAACACGGCTCCTGGCGACAACGACAACCCTGAACCTGACAGGCGTTGAAGTCCTTCAGGATGCTGTGGCAGAAGGGGCGGAGTCAGAGGGAAAGAGGGCGGAGCCATAGAAGGGGAGGAGTCAGAGGAAAAATAGGGCGGAGTCAGAGGGAAAGAGGGCGGAGCCATAGAACGGGAGGAGTCAGAGGAAAAATAGGGCGGAGTCAGAGGGAAAGAGGGCGGAGCCATAGAAGGGGAGGAGTCAGAGGAAAAATAGGGCGGAGTCAGAGGGAAAGAGGGCGGAGCCATAGAAGGGGAGGAGTCAGAGGGGGTTAGGGAGAAGAGCGAAAAGAGGGCGGAGTCAGATGGAAGGGGCGGAGTCAGAAGGGAAAGAGGGCGGAGTCAGAGGGAAGGGGAGGAGTCAGATGGAAAATAGGGCGGAGTCAGAAGGGGAAGAGGGCGGGGTCATAGAAAATGGGCAGAGTCAGAGAAAAAAGGGTGGTGTTACAAGCATGAATGGCAGGAAAGTGATAAAATGAATGAAATCGTGTGTATCTATATTTCTGTTGGAAAATCTGAGCTATGCTTTTGGATCAGCTGCTCACATGGCGGTCATGGCCTCGTTCTGGAAGGTGACGAAGGCCATGCCCAGGGGCTTGGTGTGGACTTTCTCCTTCTCCTTCCTGTACTCCTCCTTCAGCTTGGCCTCTCTCTTGGTGTAGTAGCTCACAGCCTCCTCCTGTAGGGGAACCAGACACGTTGAAGGCTCGGTTCTGAACCCGGCAGCTGCTGATGAACGAACGAGGGACTGGCCCGACAGAGGTCACCTCCTCGCAGCCGGCGATGGCGCAGCAGCACAGGTGTCCGCAGGGCTTGGGGTTGATCATGGTGGGAACATGCTCCTTAGCCATCAGGTCGGTGAAGAACTTCTTGCTGCGCTCCGTCTTCTTCCTGCAATCACATAAAACGTCCTGAACGCTCCAACAACAGGCCCGGTGACCCGGGACCGACCTGGGACCGACCCGGGGACCGACCCAGACTCACCTCTCAGCACTCAGCGCCATCAGTTTGGCCACGTTGTAGCAGATCCGAGCCTCCAGAACCACACAGTTTTCATAGGCCTGCCTGCGGAGCAGCATGAGAGAAGGGTTAGGACGGCTGCTGTGGGCCGGCTGCTCCTCGTTACGGTAAAACTCACTCAAAGTGCTGCTTGATCTGACTCTCATCAGCATACTTGGAGATGCCGTTTATGAATAAAGTGCGTTTCACCTGCAAGACACAACCCTGGGATTACTGGCCACTTCAGCTCAAACCCAGAAGGCGTTCTCAGAACCAAGTGGATCAGATGGCGGGCCGCAGCGCCACCTCTCCTACCAGATCGTCCTCCTTGTAGTGCATCTTAGACGTGTGTCTCCTCATGCTGTAGACCGTCAGCAGCAGGTACATGAAGGCAAAGGTTGTATGGAGCCACAGCAGCTTGGTCCTGGAAACGAGAGCTGGTTCAGTTTCCGTTGGGCTGACGCTGCGTTCGCCGCTGCAGCCTGCCATGCTACGCTGCAGCCTGCCATGCTACGCTGCAGCCTGCCATGCTACGATGCAGCCTGCCATGCTACGCTGCAGCCTGCCATGCTACGCTGCAGCCTGCCATGCTACGCTACAGCCTGCCATGCTACGCTGCAGCCTGCCATGCTACGCTGCAGCCTGCCATGCTACGATGCAGCCTGCCATGCTACGCTGCAGCCTGCCATGCTACGCTACAGCTGTACCCTTTTGCTTTAAGAATCGTTCCTCTGTGGCAAATCTTTATGCTGAGCTAGCAGTTTCCTAAAACTTTCCTAAAACGAGGCAAAGAGTTTCTTCCAATTTTTAAGCAAGGCTAACATCTAGCCTGTGTTTTAGGTGTTCATGGTAAGCTAGGCAAAATCAATTCAAAATCTTATACTTGATTTGTGGTATGTGGCCTAACGTGTTGATGAAAACATGCAAACAGATGGTGTGTGTTCCTGGAAGCAGACTGAACGCCCTGCACTCATCGTCACTCACTCTGACTTCAGGTTGGCGATTGTGGTGCGTCCGAAGCTGTAGGCGTTGTTCTCTGGAACAGACAGACATGACAAAATGAGTCACGATTCCACAGATCTGACACGGCTCCAGACGAAAAGCTGGAGGTCTAAATCAAAACAGCATCAGGGTTTCCTGGAGTGAGAATTCACCAGAACCAGACTCGGGTCACAACACTCAGTACAGCATCTACAGACCGGACGGGACCGAGTCCGGCTCCAGCTAGAACCACCAGCTAAATCACGTCTAGAGCGGCGCAGAAAACCTGCCACCCTGCAGCCTTTACCTTCTTTGGAAGGAGGTCCAGGAGCTCCCTGGCTGAGGAAAGCATCTGCACTGATAATTCTGACTAAAACCAACCAGAAACAAACGGAGAGCATCGTGAAGAGAGTCCTGCAGACCGCAGCCAGTCCAGAGTCTGCAGCTTTGGGCCTCTGAGTCTCAGATGGAGCGCTTACCCAGCAGGTCACCGGAGAAGTTCACCGGCAGGACGATGCCCACGGAGAGGACGCCGACGACGACCAGCAGGCCGATGATGTGTCGCTGGAAGGACAGGTAGTGCACGGCGTCCTCGCCGCACTTCTCACGGATCTCCTCGTCCCTGAAGCGTCGACGAAGGAGACGGATCTCAGATCAGACATTTCCAAAGCAAAGAGAACCTGGCGGGTTGTTGAGAGCCAGACTTACTTTATTCTGAAGATGGCCGTGAGCCAGGAACAGAAGCCCTGCAGGAGAAAACAAGCGGGTCAGAACCAAACCCTGGAGCATGAAGAACAGCGGTGCACCATTTATGTCATTGTACAGAAGAACAACGTTTCATTTCAGGACATTTTCATCGCAGGAAAGACAAAAGCAAGCAGAAGAGGCGGCGGTGCCGTCTGCGTTTCCTGGCACATCGTCGCACTTCATGGCACAACCCGGCGGCCATGTTGTCTTCAGCTCTTTGTAATGCTACATATATCTCATATCACTTAATTAATAGTGATTCTTTAAATGCTAGATTTAAAAGCTCCTCCTCCAGGAAGTCATCCAACATGGCTCCTCTATTAACCCTTTGAGTGCGAGCACATTGTGTGGAGGAGGAGCTGTGCCTGGAGGCGGGGCTAGGTCCACCCAGGCATTTGGTAGCTGTTGCCATGGAGATTAAAGGATTTCTCAAACATGAAAGAATCAAAGCAGCAGGAAAAACAGGATCATTGACTGACTTCATTGTCAGGATGCTGTCGGTGTAAATACTGGAACGTCATCAACCCTCTGAAAGCTTTTACAGCTTCTGCTGATCTTTGAAGAGAAGTTTTCAAAACTGTCAGCCGGCTCTGCTCCTCTGTCCCATTTGTCCACTGCAGCTGGACGTCTGCGGCCGCCAGACTGTCCTCTGGATCCGTCTGGATCCTCTCGGGCCGTGTGTCCTGCCTCGGTAAATATGTGCTTGGACCGGACGGGTCCAAAGTGGTCCGTCTACCAAAAGCCCAACTTACACCACAGCCTTCTTGCTAATTTAGACCCATTTCTAAACTACTGTTTTTACCAAAAGTTTTAGAGAAGATTGTTTTGATGTAAATGTGGACACAGAGGACCTTGCTGAGTGTTTATTGATCTCCTAATGTCTGATTCAGGGACGCTGCGGTTTCATCGTTGCTGCATGATGTGGCTTGTTCTGCAGCTCTGTGCAGGTTGGTTCTCATCGTATTTGTAAGAGACGATTGTTTGTTCCTCTGTGGCGGCGCCTCTCCATGATGAGAACCTCAGGAAATTGAATCTCTTTTCACTGTTTGCTGATGATGTGCAGATTTGCAGCAGATTGCTTAACAGGATCAACCAAAACTTTCTTCACTTGAATCAAAATAAAACTAGTTCTGTTGGGACAAAAGAGCCTTTTCAATAAACCTGATCAGATTCTTGGCTGCTTCGCTCCTTCTGATAGAGATCTCTGTCTTAAATCGGTTCAATTCTGTCGATTTTTCATCTTCTAGCAAATGTTAAATCCAGCCTTCATCATGTTGCGACTAAGCAACTCGTCATCTAAAAATGTGGACCAATGTTCTCTACATTTGGAATCCAAACTCCAGCATCGCCTTCTTATCGGATTGATTTTAAAATCATTTTGCTTTTGAAGCTCCAGGGCCAAATTTATATACTAGCTTTTACTACCGCGCAGAAACCCTGTTCCCTCTGTTTACAGCATTATGCTAAGCTAGGCTAACGGTTTCCCTCTCTTTACAGCATTATGCTAAGCTAGGCTAACAGGGCAAGTCTGTACTGAAGGCTGAGTTTTATATGCAAACATGACAGCAGAGAAACTATTCAGAACCTGAAGAAACTCAACAAAGAGGCCGTTAAACATCTGAAGGTTCATATGAGACTGATGATGGTGAGGAGGAGGAGGAGTGATGAAGACGTCCTTACGTTGTCTCTCTGGTCGAAGTCCACAGAGCTGGACACCGAGGTGAGGCGTTCGTAGCGATCCGGAGTCTCCGAGTGCATTGCTGAGGCAACGCTGCAAACAGACAGGAAGCAGCCAGTTAGCATGTGGCTGCCTGACCTTTGACCTCTATGCTGAAAGCTGGTTCCCTCAGACTGACAGGAGGAGGGAGACACAGACAGAGCTACTTGAAGGTCTGAGACCTCAGGACAAACAGCCCCAAAGGGACAGGAACTAAGACTGCGCCCCCTAAAGGCCGACCCCAGATTTAACAATGAAGATGTGGATCAGATTTCAGGTGAATGAAAACATGATTATGTTGAGCTAAAGGTTTAAAATCCACCAAAAACATCACGAAATTCATAAAGCCTCTCCAGACAGGCCCCACCCTCTTCCCTGCTGTGACCAGATGTACGGGGTTTCCTGACCGTCCTTCCAGGGACCGATCTGCAGGAACCATGAACTTCTTGGCGCACGTGGGTTCTGACTTCAGTCATGATCTACTTGTTCTGACTCGGCCCAAGGCGCACTGAAGTCTAACCTACTGACTACCACGGGGTCACCACGAGGTCACCAAGGGTCACCACACACTGAGCTGCAGCCGTTACCTTTTCACCGGCTCATAGTTATCTGTGTCTCGTCTGCGGCTGAGTTAAAGACGGAGAGAGGAGTGTAGCGTTAGCTTCACCTCTCACACACACATACACACACAGTACGGAGGGTTAGAAGGGCCAAAAGTCACTCATTAGTGAGCAGAACGTCTGATAGGACAAGAAGAGGCCAGCTGTGCTAGTGGACCAATCAGAGCGCAGCATCCTGTTAATGGAAGCAGCAGCAGAAGAAGAAAGAGGAGGAGGAGTTAGCAGACAAACCAAACAGCCGACAGGCAGCAACATACTATTCCTGCTCCTCCAAGTCGCTGAAACGCTTCTTCAGTCTTCAAGAAGGAAAAAGAGGAAGATGAGGAAAAGTTACTGAAGCAGAACCTCCCGCTTCTCCAGACGTTCCTGATCCTCAACCCAGCGTTCTCCAGAGACATTTACACGCCAGCAGCCCAGCCACCAGGGGGCGCCGCTGAGACCACAGGAACCAGTCACTTCCTGCTTACCTGTCTGCGTCTGTGACCAGCGCTAGGCGGCCATAATCCCACGCAACCTTCCTCAGGATGGAGAAGACGAAGAGGAGCACCTGAAGAAAAAGAGCATGATGAAGAAGAGCATGTAGAGCTGAATACGGAGCTAGGCGTAGATTCTCCAGATTGAACCTTTTCTCTTTTTCAGCTGAGGGTAATTTTTCCCTTCATTCTGTGCAACTCAACCAGCTGAGAACATGGAGCCGTTTGCTTCGCTTGTAATTAGCAGAAATCAAAACAGAAATGTAGCTTTCCTAGCATAACATTTATCTGATCCAACCAGAGAAACACGCTTTCCTTGCTGAAACCATCTGAGCAGCATTTCAGAATCAGAAGCTCACATTAGCAGAGCATGCTAATGATCTGCTAATGGCTGTGCTAACAGATCTGCTAATGCTACACTAGTTGCTGTGCTAATGGCTTTTCTAATGCTCTGCTAACATTTCTGCTAATGCTGTGCTAACAGTTCTGCTAAAAGCTCAGGTGATGTTATGCTAACTGCATTAGCAGAGCATAGCATCTCTGCTAATGCTCTGCTAACGCGCCGCTCGGTGTAGCGACGAGTCTCACCAGGAAGCACATGAAGTCCAGGGCGAGCACAGTGGGCACGCCTCCGAACGGCAGCCCCTGCAGCACCGTGCTGCGGATCCGGGCTGAGTAGCAGTAGTCTTTGGATTCATCGTCGCCTGTACAGTTTTTCTGTTCGCTGCAGGCCGGGCTGCTACCCACTGACTCCATGGTGACAATCAGCGCACTGAGCATGCTCACTGCCCACATCCTCACTGGGAACCTGAAGAACAGAGAGGCACAGGTCTGGGATCCAGAAACAGCAGGCTAACGCTAGCATGCTAACATAGCAGGCTGATGCTAGCATCCACAGCTATATATTGTAATTTCCTATAATTTGTCAATATCTAAACAGTAGAGCAGAAATCTGTCAAAGACAGATTGAAACATAGATATTGTACATAGAGACATACTGGGGCCGGGCAACATGGCTTCAAAATAAAATCACTTTTTTACCAAATTAAATTTTATTCTGCTACACATGACAAATTATTTTTAAAGGATGTTCTTTTATTTTGATCATGATCTCTGTGAATTGACCTGAAATTAAAGTCTAAACAATGGAAACATTTGTCAAACAAGATGTCTGCATTGACAAAATCAGAAAATATGATTAATCAATAAACTTGATTGATAAATCATAAATATTCCACCAATAATAATCTGTTAGAACATACAGATATGAGTCAGGAGCTAAAGGTGGAGGTTTGGGCTGCAGGCGCTTAACACAGCAGAACCACAGCTCACTATGCTAGCTGTGATATTAGCATGCTAACTATGCTAGCTGTGATATTAGCATGCTAACTCTAATTATTTATTTTTTAGAGGTGTTGAAATCAAAAGTGGGACTGCACAGATATCGTCATGGAAACCAGCTAGCAGCTGAAAGCAGCTAATGTGCTAGCTATGGCTAGCATTAGCATTCAGAGCCACAGCGCTTTCCTCTGATTGGTCCTCATCACCATGGTAAGCAGCAGCGTGCAGCTGATCCAGGTGTTCGGCTGCCAAAGGTCCAGAACCGACATCATCTGGTACCATCATCTGGTACCATCATCTGGTACCATCATCTGGTACCATCATCTGGTACCGGTTTGGACCATTTGAGCTGAAGGAACCATGAGAGCCGAGGTTCTAGCGGTTCTGTTCGGCCACTCCAGGATAACCACGTCTGGTTCTGCTTGGTTCTGTTTATTACTGATGAAGATCCAGAAAAGTTCTGCTTCCAGAACCAGCAGGGTTCTCCCTGCTCTCCCCCCGGCCCCCCTCCCCGTCACCATGGCGCCAGCAGCATGACTCATCGTCCAGGCCCCGCCCCCTCCCAGGCCCCGCCCCCTCCCAGGCCCGGCTCCTGATTGGTCCGCGTGGACCGCCTGCAGCCTGCAGATAACGATAAGGAGCCTCAGATCAGAAACAGGAAGTGGTTCTGGTGCAGCATCCGCTCCAGAACCACCGCTGGCCCGGTCAGAACAGGACCGGCAGAACTTCCGACTGTCTGCAGAACCATGAGAACGGTTCTGAAATCCAAACGTCTCCCTGGTTCTGGTTCTAATCTGGACCCAAATGGATGAAATCCCTGGATTCCTCCATTCCGGATCCAAATTTCTTCTCAGAACCGGGTCAAAACTCTGGGAACTCGGTTGACCCGGTTCTTTTCTTGGCGTCCAGAGAGGATGAAGGTCAGAGCTGCAGCCAACAATCAATCAATCAATCAATCAATCAATCAATCAATCAATCAATCAATCCCGTTTGCAGATTTTATTCCACGTCAGAAACGCCTTGAAGAAGCAAATGAATTCATTTCATCGTCCCACAGGAGAAAAACTGGACATCAATAGATATTGATTATTGATTAATAACTGGATGCTGAAGCTGATGAATCATTTCCAGAATGTGAAGCTGAAGCAGAACTAGAGTTCAGACGAAAATGTTTTTATTTTAATTATTGATCTCATTTTCTTTCAGTCTGGATTCAGTTTTTTTCGATAGTGACAGGAAATGACAGAAGATCAAGCCGGGAATCAAACCCACGGCGGCGGCGGTAGCGACCCGCTGCGCCCCTGAATCATTGATTACTGCATTAATCCAGGTTTAGTTCAAGAAGACAGAACCAGAACCCCTAGAACCTTCTGTTCTGCTCCAGAACTGCTGAACAACTGGACTGAAACGGATCAGTAGAACGGATCAGAACCGGTCAACAAAACCGGTTCTGTTGGCTGCAGTCTGTTTCTTTTCCCGACCCGGCGGACAGAACATCAGCTCCTCCATGTTCTGGGTTCTGTAGATCCAGGTCCAGTCCGGTGGCTCTGCACACTGCAGATGATCCTTAAGTAAAGAAACGTTTTGGGAATTTTTTATTCTCTATTAATAAAATTGTGGAGAAAAATGATGTTTTGTGTGAAACGTCTCGAAGCAGCGAGTCTGTTGTGGAAAGCCTGAATCTGATTGGTCAGTTTGCTTTTGGTGTTTTTTTCTGAGCTGAAAGCGAATGTGGGAGTTTGATCCTCCCGAAGTTCTAAGAGCCGTTTTGGATCCCGCCTGGACTTCTCACCGCGTGCGGTTCTGGTGGGTCGCCGGTTTCCTGGTTCGGCAACTGAAGAGCTGACGCGTCACCGGTCGGCCGACCGTGACATCTGCTGCTCTTCCGGAGCGCGGCGCTACGTCTGCAGGTCAAACAGTTCGATCTGTGCAAATGTTGGCCAAAGGATAAATGAACAGACGTTGTTGCTTCTCCTCTGGACGTCTCAGAAGCACCGGGATCTGGGATCTGGGGATCTGGGATCTGGGGATCTGGGATCTGGGGATCTGGGATCTGGGGGATCTGGGGATCTGGGATCTGGGGATCTGGGGATCTGGGGATCTCCTCCTCCTCCGGTTCATGGTCGGCTTTGCTTTCACGACTTCTTAATCAGCATGATGTGCCGTTCCAGTCGCCGTTGGCTGTGGTTTCGGTTCGTTTCATGAGCTCTTGGGTCGGGAGCAGCGGTGCTGTCCTGGGTCCAGCGGTTCCGTTTTTAGAATCAGACCGGAACCAAACGGAGAGTCTTCAGAATGTGGCGGTTATCGATCAACGGCTTTGATGTTCAAATATTGGACTTCATGTTTTTCAGCAGATTAAAAAGTGGATTTTCTCTCAGTCAAAAAGTTTCTGTTTCTGCTGCCTCTGATCAGCTCGGAACCAGAACCGGTCCATTACCAGGTCTAATGAGGAAGCTGTGAAGTGATGGGTTGAAGATTTGCTGGTTTGTTTTTCCAGGTTTTTCCAGGTTTTTCAGGCTCATCAGTGATGGAAACTCCTTCCTTTAATTCTGGAAATATTCTGAAAAACCTGCAGCTCGTGTTGGACCGGGATCAAACAGACCATCAGTTCCAGATGACGGACCGAACCGAGCCGAACCTTCGGGTTTCAGGCCTGGCAGCAGGCTGATCCTTTGACTTACTGACCTGATTTCTGCGGGCCGCAGCACGTCCAGCTAGGCCCGAACCGAACCCGCCCGAACCGAACCCAACCGGCCCTCCCAGCCAAACAAAGCGCAGAGACTCCGCACATCCCGCACATCCGCCACCTGCGTGGATCATCAGATGCGGACGAGCGCGCGCCTTGCGCGTGCACAGCGCACACATTATGTAACCCCCCCGCAGCCCCCCCGGGCCCCCCGGCCGGATGGATGCTGCCGGGGGCAGCGGCGCCGCCAGGCCGCCGGAGAGGCTCCAGCCGCGGCCTGGCGGCGCGCGGCGGCCGCTGAGCGGATCAGGCGGAGCCGCAGCTCAAAGCCAATCATGGAGAATTAGAACAAAGCCGGTACCTGACCCTCCGAAGCCGAACCGAACCCCTCTGCTGCTCCGCTCCGCTTCCAAAACAACCGCTAAATGAACAAATCCTCAGAAAAGCCGCTGCGCCCGAACCGCGGGCCGCCGCAGCGCCGCCATGGCGCAGAAACCCGCAGAGAGCCGCAGAGCCGCAGAGAGCTGGATCCACCGCCGGGACGCTGGCCGACAGTCCGCTGCGAGCCGCTGCGAGCCGCTGCTCCTCCGCCGGCTGTCCGAGGCAAAATGGAGGCGGAGCGGAGCTGCGGTGACGCGCCGCCGCCAGCAGGGGGCAGCAGGAGCTGACCTTCAGGCTGCGTCTCGCCCTGCGGTTACACAACCGGTCCACGCAGAAGAAGACCTGCTGCTTCTGATGATGATGATGATGAAGAAGATGCTGATGATGAAGATGATATCAGGTATCCGATCATCTGCACGCCTTATCACGTGACTAAATGAAGGACTTCCGGTCTGACGCAGGTCCGGAAAAAAGTTTGGTTAAAACTCACGATGAGCTGTGGAGCAGCAAGGTCCCCGGTTCGAATCCCAGCCGGTTCCGCTGAGGCGGTGGCAGCGTTCACCAGAACCAGAACCTCCACTATGATCCACTTTTTAGAGTTTTTTCAGAATCAGCGACACATAAGGTTTGCTGCTGTCGCCTCGGCTCAGAGGGACAGACCCGGTCCAGCAGAGGACGGATGGACCCAGAGGACAGATGGACCCAGAGGACATGGACCCAGAGGACGGATGGACCCAGAGGACAGATGGACCCAGAGGACATGGACCAGAGGACAGATGGACCCAGAGGACGGATGGACCCAGAGGACGGATGGACCCAGAGGACATGGACCCAGTGAACCTTTGGCCTCTAAACGTCCAACAAACCAGAACAGGAAGCATCATTGATGAGACTGATGATGTTTCTGTTTTGGGACAGAAACATAAATATTGTTCATATTATTATAAATATTATTAAACATCCGGACTGGAGAAGAAGAAGATTTAACTTCATAAGACTCCTGGACCCCCAGGAGCCGGGTCAGAACCGGGTCAGAACCGGTCTGTGCTGCTGGGAGGAAGATGGTTCTGATGGTCCTCTGACGTTCATCTAGACGTCAAAGGAGACCCGGATCCCACCAGAACCGAACCTCACAGAGCCACGGCTCGGCTGTCGATGTGGAACCGGAAGCCGGTTTTCTGCCTCTTCCTCCAGCCTCTGCAGCTCATTGGCTGAGCTGCGGCTCCTGTCGAGGGCCGCGCCGGAAGCAGCGGCTGCCGGGGGATGGAGTGCCGATCCGCCGCCGTCTCGTCCCTCAGCTGGGCCCTGGTGGTCGGCGGCGCGGCCTACCTGCTGCGGCAGACGCGCCGCTGCGGACAGTACGGCCGCTACGCG